TTTCTTCTAAGGACGTTTATTATGCAGATGCCTGTTACACTAATACTTGAACTCGTACCTTGTGGTGTTTGCTGTCTTCTAACTACTTGTGATATATTACACTTTTGGAATCTGCTAGGTGAGTGGGTGTATGTGTGAGAGTGAACAGTTCCCAGCTCAGTGTCAGAAAATCGTTTTTTATAAAATGGACTTTTTAAACAAATTTGTCTTCACCTTGTTTCCACTTATAGAGTTAATTTTGTAGCTTGGGCGCTGATGACACCTGCATCAGATGTTACCAGAACACAACACACGTAGGTACAAAGCTTTCGTAAAAATTCTGATGCTTTTATTAATCTTGGTGGCAGATGGTGTTTTTTATTCCAAGGTCATGAGCAAAGGTCTGATCGCTTATCTCAGGATCTTTGTCACACTGGCAGCTTCGTAAGTTAACAGCCAGATTGGGTTTTCTGTGGCTAATGGTCCCCGTCTCCCAGAAGACTTAGTTCGGGTTTGGCTTCTGCTACGTCTCGCCAGTAAGGGAGCAGCAAAGGCAAGGAGGAGACTTTCTTCTCGATCAGAGGCCAAAGGTGGGAGAACAAAAACTCATTTCCCTCCGGGGACAAGTGCAGTCCGTCTGACAGAAAGGACGAGAAGTCCTGCAGGGGAGAGAGTTGGGAGAGCGTGTGGGGGACGTTTCCGGGGCCCCACGAGGAGGTGCAGTTCATCGGGGGGGGGGCAGGGGAGAAGAGGCTGAACGAGTAAATAAGGTACATTCACGTGAACGACAAGAACGACCTGCGCTGTTAGAGGAGCTCAGGGCCCAGGGTGCCCGGCTGCTCCGACTCCCCTAGTCTAGGTATTCAGTCGACGGGCGGGTTATTAGGTGTAAAGAACTTGAACCATCCGGCCCAGAAGAGTGACGGTCCCGTGCTCATGGCCCCCGGGAGCCGCTTCTGGGTGAGCGGTGTCGGCCCCACGCCAAGGCCCCGTCCCTGCCAGAAGCCAGCCGGCCCCACAGGTTCACGGCTCCTCCAGACCACGGCTTCCCGAGGCCTCGGCGCTCCTCTCTGCCATCTTAGAGCGGACCTCTCGGGGAAGGCCGCTCCCTCCCCACCCTCCCCCGTCCTAGAACCCTGGGGGGTTAAATCTCCAAGGACTTCATCAGAGCCCCTCTCAGATGGACACTTAGCCCAGACGAAAGCCAGGACTCTGGCTGCGTCGCTGCCGCCCCGACCTGGGAAGCCACAGGAGGACCAGCACCAGGTCTAGGCACGGCTTTGGAGGGAGGCTGAAGCGCAGGGTTGGCTTCGCGAGGGAAGCGCCGGGCTGCTGGGTCCTGTGGACACAACTGTACGGAAAGCACCAGCGCCTTCCTCGGGGGCTGGGCTGCTCCGTGGGGACCCGCTTTCACCGTTACTGGTTGTAAACGCGCTTTCTGGCTTTAAACAAAACCATGAGAACCACATGGCTCAAAAGACGAATTTCAGCCAACACCACATCCTGCTTAAATTCATCGTTTTGCCTCTTAACGAGTTTAACCTCCTCCTCCCCCACATTCCAAAAGGACTTGCTCTGAATGTCCTTCACTATGAACCACTGATTTCAACTCCGTTCCGGGTCCCGCCCGGCTACTCAAGGGGTCCCCGGAGCAGGACGGCAGCTGCTGGGGCCGCGGAGGAACGAGGCCATGGGCGCGGTCCCGGAGCCTCCGCGCTTCCTCCTCGCAGCGCTCTGGTTTAATTGGGGAAAGGGACAGCTAACGGTCTTACCCGCTCAGAGCCCCACGGAGCAGGGTCACTTCTGCATCATCCTCCTGGCCCCGACAGGACCGAGCAAGCCCCCGTACCTGACCGTCCTTCTGCATCAGGGTCCACAGGTCAAGCACGTCAGTCCCACAGTCCTGGGCCACTTGCAAGCAGGCGCCTGCGTATTCACCAACAACCAAGTTCAGGCGATTTAGTTTGCAGCCTATTGAGAGAGAGAGTGTGGGTGGCAAGTGGCCGCTGTGCAAGTTCTACTGGCCTGGATGCTTTTCCGTCCCCGTAAATAGGCACGTGCTTATGGACCCGACCTGGGTCCGACCGTGTGAGGGCCGTCACCGAGCGCTGCTCTCCGCGGCACGGGGACGGGGGAGTGCACCATCGGTGGTCGCCACAGAGGCAGGAAAGCCCCGTGGCGGCCACCTCCTTGGCTGGAGTACAGGCCAGAGGCAAAGAGAGTGGGGGCTGAGGGGGAGGGACGGTGGGCCGAGACCCCTGAATTTGTTGTGTCATGTGAGGCCGCTGTGATACGATGGAAAGATCAGGGTTCGGCCAGAGAAGGGGGAGCTGGAAGGGGCTGCAGAGGTCCTTGGACTGGCTCACGGGTCAGTGACCTCTTTTTTTTTTCTGTACATTTGAGAACACATGTGCACGTACACACACGTGAGCACACACACGAGTGAGCACAGGAGGAGCAGAGGAGAGAATCCCAAGCAGGCTCCGCACTGTCAGCGCAGAGCCGGACGTGGGGCTCAAACTCACAACCCGGGAGGTCGTGACCTGAGCCAAAACCAAGAATCGGCCGCTTAAGCGACTGAGCCACCCAGGCGCCCCAGCGACCTTTCTCCACAAGGGGCCGGGCAGTGAATATTCCGGGCTGTGCGGGCGTAGGGTCCGTGCCGGTAACTGCTCTGCCCTCTGCCGTAGCTCAGGAGACACGCAGTATGGAAACCTGGGGGCTGGTCTTCGGTAGAACATTCCTGTAGCCAGCGGTTCACAAACCCGACCCACACCGCCATGTTCTCCACCGGGACTCGCTACGCGTCTGATAAGTGAAACACGGCTCGCACGCGGCGCCGGGTCCCGGATGCTGAGGTTTTCCCTACTCGTTCCCAAAATGTAACTCACTTGGTTCTGTGCCCACGAGGGGGTTGTGACCTGCAGTCTGAGAAGCAGATGTGGCTCTGACTCGCACACCTCTGCTCGTCCAGGCGCGGCACGAACACGCTTGCTACCTCCCGAGCGATCCTGATCCTACGCGAGGCAGACGCCGGCACGAGGGGAGGCTCCCTGGGGGGCCGCGCTCACCCTCTGGAGCTGACGACAGGCAGCGTCGTCTACCCCCGACCCGGCCCTTCCAACACCTGATGACAGCGGGCCTGGCCCCATCCTCCCTGTCTGTCCTCTTCCTCTGGATAAACTTGCCCTCCTTACCTCCTGTGGGGAACTTTCCTGGACCTTTCTGGACGCCAGTACCTTCAACAGAGTGTTTCCGTGCCTGCCACGCCATTCATCACGTGGCTGTCACGTGGCTGCCGGTGTCTGTACGGAACGGTCTCCCTCCCTACTCGACACGCGGGAACCAGGTTCTAGTCACTTCTGTGTCCTGACTTTGTACTTTACATGCTAAGACGAACGGTCGCAGGGACAGAAGTGGCTCCGTCACAGGTGCCGTGGACGCGCCCTCAGCCGAGCCTTAGTTTTGGGGAAGGAGGGGTCTCGTCGCCGAAGGCCGCAGCCCGGGCGAGGCTGCGTGGAGAAGGGAGCGCGTTGGGCCAGAGGCGGGCAGAGTGGCGGCTGCGGGCAATCGCGGTCACCGGGGTCGCTGGGAGCCTCAGTGCCACGTGGGCCGCCACACAGCTCCGCGGCCGCGCTTGGGGTCTGGCGCCGCCGGGCCGGGGCCGCCCCCTCCGCGGGGACAGTCCCTTTTCCGGGCCACCGTTCGCGCCTAGAACCTAATGGCCACTCCGCTCGTTTTGCTTACTCTCTGGTGGCTGAGAACAGAGGCCGAAAGGACTGGGCGGGGAGCCCGGCCCGGCAGCCGCGAAGCAAGGGGCCGCCCGGCTCTGGGCCCCTCGCTCGGTCCGGTCGGAGGACACGGCGCCCGCGGCCCGCTTACCTTGCGCGAGGCACTCCCGCTCCCAGGCCGCCTCGCAGAGCGGGGGCGGCGAGATGAGGACGATCCTGTGCTCCGGGACGTCCACGGACTTGAGGTAGCGCACCATGCTCTTTAGATTCGCCACGTACTCGTCCAGGGGGACGTGCTGCTTGGGGTTCTCATCTGTTGGGGGGGGGGGGGACACGGACACTTCGGCCCCAAACGCACGTTTGTCGCAAGGGACAACGAAGACTGACACGAGCTCCCCCTCGGGACGTCGCCGGGGAGTAGTTCGGACCGCAGACACAAACACGGGGTAGCGGGTGGGGGGAACGGCGGTCCCCGCTCTTCGTGGGACAGACCGCAGAGGCTCAGGCTCTGTCCTCTGGTGGCCAGCGGCCTGGGCTGTGGAGGGAGGCCGCCGAGTTCCACCCCTGCTTCCTCGCAGACCGGCCGCCTGCCCTGGGACAGATGCCCGGCTTGCCTGTACCTCGGCCTCCTCACCGGTAAACCGAGGACGATAACCGGGTCTCCCTCACGGGGTGGTTGTGAAAATCGACAAGCACGTAAAGCACTGCAGCAGGGGGCCTACCACACAGGAAGCGGCCCGCGTATGACTGCCAGCTGCTGGGGCAGGCACCTGGGTGGCTCAGTGGGTTAAGCATCTTGACTCTTGATTTTGGCTCAGGTTGTGTTCTCAGGGGAGAGTGAGCCCCACGTGGGGCTCTGCACTGACAGTGTGAAGCCTGCTGGGGATCCTCTTGCTTTCTCGCTCTCAAATAAATAAACTTAAAAAAAAAAAAAGCTGTTGCTTCTACTATTATAGTCGCAAGGACTTGTTTTTCCTTTAGAGCACGCGTGCGCACGTACAGAGGGGAGAAGGGCAGAGGGAGAGACAGAATCTTAAGCAGAATCCAGGCTCAGTGTAGGGCCCGGTGCGGCCTCGATCCCACGGCCCCGGGATCGTGTGTGACCTGAGCCGAAATCAAGAGTCGGAGGCTCAACTAACTGAGGTGCCCGGGTGCCCGGCAAAGGATGACTTCTAAATGGGCTCGCACATAAGTATCCTAAGACTCACTGCAGGTGCTTTACAAACCACATGTAAGGATAATTATAGGAGCAAAATAAAATCCCTCATGATGCCACCACCCAGAAAGCCACTGTTGGCACTCGGAGGTACTTCATTCTAGTCTTTTCCCTGTTGATAGGTGTACTTAAAAAAATAAAAGTAGCATTACACTGAAGATACATAACCATATGGTTCTTTTTTCCACCTAACATTATATCACGGGCATGTCTGTGTCCACGAACAGTCCTCAAAAACGTGTATCTGCTGGGGGACCGAGAGGAAGCTTCTATCTCTGTGCCACCCAGCATTCTATTTTTTTGCTGTTAGAAATACAATTCGCAGAAACGTCTGCACGTACGCCTGGCTGCATTACTGAATTTTTTCTCAGGCTGGATTTCTAGATGTGGGAAGTCCTCCGATGCACGCTGTCAAGTATCTTTCCAGAAAGATCACAAGGTTCCCCAGTGACTGGAAGAGAGGAGTGCCCATCTCACTCCACACTCAGCAGCCATAAGAATCAGTGCTTAAAAACACTTTCCAATCTGAGTCTTTATAATCTTTCGAGGTTATCTCATTTCACAAAGCTACTTTTCTCCTTTGTGATTTCCTCCATTGCTTTTGTGCTTGGAGTTTCTTTGTCCTAATTTCGGTGAGAAGTCGCCTTTTTTGGAGTCTCCTTTCTTACAGTTTTTAGTGTAAGATCAAGTGGAGATCTGACTTTTCCAAACAGTGGGCTCACAGGATCCACTAACACCTACGGCTCATTCGTCTTTCTCAAGGCGGCGAGCGTCCCTGCCTGCCCTGCCGCCTCCCCTGAGCTGCCCCCACCGTGTGCCCACAGATAGCATTCTTCTGGAAGCGGGCTTTCCAGAACACAGGCTGACTTCTCCCCTTCGTGCCGCACAGAGGGTCCTCCTCGCAAGAGCAGGAGGGAGAACAAGGCCTGCGCCCGCTGGTCTTCCAGAGACAGGGACACGGTGCCACTTCCCAGCACCCAGGACCGAGTCCACGCCCGGGCGGGGGTGCTCCCTGAGTTGCTCGGCCATCAGTGTGACCCACGTGGCAAGGCGGGCCCTCCACCGCCGATTCCACCAACTACTGAGAAAAACATCTGAAATCCAGCACAACACTAATGGACTCCAGAAAACATTTTCGGGGCACCCGGGCATGTCCAACTTCGGCTCGGGTCACGATCTCACGGTTCGTGGGTTCGAGCCCCGCATCAGGCTCTGTGCTGACGGCTCAGAGCCTGGAGCCTGCTTCAGATTCTGTGTCTCCCTCTCTCTCTGCCCCTCCCCTGTTCATGTTCTGTCTGTCTGTCTGTCTGTCTCTCTCTCAAGAATAAATAAACATGAAAAAAAACAAACACAGGGCACCTGGGTGGCTCAGTCAGTTGGACGACCAACTTCGGCTCAGGTCATGATCTCACGGTCCGTGAGTCAAGCCCCACATCAGGCTCTGCTGACAGCTCAGAGCCTGGAGCCTGTTTCAGATTCTGTGTCTCCCTCTCTCTGAACCTCCCCTGTTCATGCTCTCTCTCTGTCTCAAAAATAAACAAACGTAAAAAAAAAAAAAAAAAAAAAGAAAAAAACAAACACATTTTCAAGTGTTTGAGATCAGGTCTGCCAACAACCCAGGCGGGTAGAAAATAAGCTGGGAACAAAATTCACTGACATTGAAGCCAGAAGAAATACGCTTAATAAACTCTGGGAACTCATTATAAATTTGGCAAAACTCATTGTAAGTTTTCTCTCCCAAAAATCTATTGGGAGAGAAGGACACAGTTGAAAAAAATACAGAAACAAGCTGTCTTCATGTCAGGGCAGGCTAAAAATGAACTAGGAAAACACAAAAATGCCTTTACCTTTGAGCGCGCTGTCATTGGCACCGAAGAAAATTGTAACTGCTACTGGGCTGTCCAAACCGGTCCCTTTTTTGATCAATCGTGGAAGGATGATTTTGGCCCACCTGGTATTGTAGCCTGAAAATCCACGATTCAGAACATCACATTTTCTGAAATGAAGAATTTTTAAACAAAGATGAATTCCACAATCCCACAAAGAACAGTTTCTAGCCCCCTGCAGTGAACCAACAGCGAGGGTGTGCCCTCCCTCTGGGCTGTGGCACCTGCCTATGTCCGGTGGCTTTGATGTGCCTGCACTTTTTTTTTTTAAGTTCGTTTATTTTAAGTAATTCTATACCCAACATGGGGCTTGAACTCACACCTCTGAGATCACGGGTCTCATGTTCTTCCGACAGAGCCAGCCAGGCACCCCCGATGTAATGTCACTTTGAGAAAGACATGCCATCCTTAACAAGATACAGGTAAGTCCGTCACATTCCTCCACAAGAGGGGTTATGAATAATTTTGAGCAAAGGGGCTATAATCTTGTCTGCAGACTCGCTCACTCACGCATGGGCAGTGAGGTCCTTCTAACATGGAGTTTACAGCAGACGGGTCTCAGTTTGAGCATCTTCAGTAGAGTCACTAAGAAGCTGGAATCAAGGGTAATGACGCTTTGGGTAATTTGGGATGTATACAGAGTATTTTTGAGACTTTTACAGAGTATTTTTTAAGAGGCATTTTAGGTTTGCAGCAAAATTGAAAGGAAGGTACAAAGCATTCCCACACACCCCTGCTCCCCACGTGCATAGCCTCCCCGACTACCAACAGCCCCACGAGCGGCACATTTGTTAGATGTGATAAACCTAACACGTCATTACCAGTAGCACCCACTGGTTTTGATTCAAGAATTTTAATAACTTACTTAACGGCTGTGCCCCCGGGACTATGTTTATGGATGCTTCAGGCTGTTCATAATAAAAATTTTTTAAAAATGATAAATCTCAGACTTCGGTTCATGGTTAGCAAATTAATGTGGTTGACTTTGGTATAGTTCAAATTCCCACATACGAGCAACTAAGCAGAGATCCCGGGGCACCAGCTGAGAAATTCTGCGCGGCCACGAGGCCAGGCGACAGACGCCAAGCAGCAACAGGAGGGGACCTGGTTTTGACACTACTCTAAAAGCTCTCAACGTTTAGAAATCTCCGGGAAAACAACAAAAAAATTCAGCCCCATTTATTTCTAAGTGTGATTCTTGGTGTTTTTAATGCAGAATGATTACAAAAAGCAGACTAGCCTAGCCATTTTGAAGACTCCGTTTAAAATGGAATACTCTAGAATTTTGACAAGAGGAGTCGGCTTTCCAGCTCTCCAATGGTATAGTCACTGTGACACTCCCTAAGGCCGGTGTGGTGTGGCAGTCCAGCACGAAGGGCTGGAATCAGAGCGGTCGGTGCCAGGATCTCGCTGCCTTTGACTAGCACATCAGGCCTTGGCCACTTACTTAATTTCTCTGAGCTTCAGGCTCCCCAACAGTAAGAGATGAACCCAACGCCTAATCTGCAGGCAGCGTGGAAATGAAAAGTAAGGTAGTAGCCAGACACACGTAAGGCGCCCACTAAATGGCAGCTATTATAGACTGAAAAAAAGATCGTCATTAGAAGAAGGCTATGAGCCAGGAAAAAAAGACAAGTGAGGCCCAGGGTTGGAACTGTTGAAGTTCCCCTCCCAAAGGGGAAGGATATCTGAATCCCTCTGGATTGAATAACATAATCAACGGTGCCCAATTTATTCAAAAGGCTACAGAAACTGGAAAATTATGAAAGGTTTTTAGTTAAATTCATGGCTAATAAAAAGTATTTAAGTTCAGATGAAGAGAGAAGAAGAGTTAATTGAAAGATTCCTTGCCAAACATCCAGACTCTAAGATTTCCTTCCAGAAAAATGTAAATTAAGCTGCTTCATAAAACAGGCAGGGGCATATTTTTAAACGCAAACAGCAGAAGCTTTTAAAAACTGAAGTCGTGGGGCGCCTGGTAGTTCAGTCGGTTAAGCGCCTGACTTCAGCTCAGGTCATGATCTTACGGTTCGTGGGTTCAGGCCCCATGTCGGGCTCTGCACTGACAGCTTAGAGCCTGGAGCCTGCTTTGGATATTCTTTCTCTTTCTCCTCACCAACCACCCCCCCCCCCCCCCCCCCCGCCCCACCCCCAAAAAATAAAAAAAAATTTAAAAAAAAAAAAAAAAAAGAAAACGGGAAGTTTATTCTAACTCCTTCAAATCCCTCAAACCAAGTATTTTTGTTTAAAGAAATACGGAAATAAGATTGTTTAAAAACACTGATGAAACTATATCCATAAATTTTAAAAGGATTTAAATAGATTTAAGAATTATTAAAATGATTTTATAATAAGTATACAAAGATCTTATTTAAAGCTAAAACTTAAAAGATGTCACTATGGAACACAATATATTTTATTTAAAAAAGTTTTTTTAATGTATATTTTGAGAGAGGGTCACAAGGGGGAAGGGGAGGGGGAGGGGGAGAGAATCCCAAGCAGGTTCCATGCTGTTAGTGCAGAGCCCAACTCGGGGCTCAATCCCAAGAACCACGAGATCGTGACCTGAGCTGAAATCAAGAGTCGGACATTTAACTGACTGAGCCCCCCAGACGCCCCCACACTGATATATTTTAGATTCTTCACTCTCCGTGGAGGTCGTGTACACAGGGGCGGTTTTAGGGAGATGCCTCTGACTTTCAAACCCGGAAACTGGGTGACATTAAACACGGAATCAGTACACCTGAGACGAATTGAACACTAGGTTAATTAGACTTCAAAAACACCCCCAAACCACCGTGAGCGGCTTCAGGGCTGTGCAGACGGCTGAAGCAGACATCAGGAGCCCAGATCGGCAAAGAACACCCCAAGCGGTAACACAGCTGAAGACGACAGTGTCCCTCAAAGCGGCAGTTGTTTGCTGTGGCACGGAAAGAAGTCCGTCCTGGCCAAAAACGCAGGGCGGTGAAGCGGCCGCCGCCTCTGACGCCAGGCAACGCCGACTGCAGCCCCCTAGTCTCTCCCCTCCGTCGCCCGGTGGAAGAACGTGGGCCTAGGACGCCAAGGCCAGCGTCCCCTCCGTCCGGGCCCTGTTGCTCCGCCGTGGCATTTTAGTTTCTAAACGGCTCTCGCGAGTTTGGCTGGGGGGGCGGCAGGGGGGCGGCCCGGAGAGGCAGGCATTCTGGGTGGGGGGAGCCCGGATGGGGAAGGATTCACGGAGGCGAGGCCTCTTGGGGGTCAGCCAGCAGCGGCTCGGCTCTGGGTGTCAACAAGAGGCTTCGCAGGGGTTAGAGCCTGGAGGCGCAGCAGACCGCACACTGGCTACAAGTCTGTCTTGTAACTTCTCCCAATTCTGAAAAATAACTAGCTTCTAATGAAGTGGTCTTCTAGCAAGCAGATCTGCAAACTATCAATTCTGGCAGGATTTTAGTACTAAACTTAACCACTTATGAAACATCTGTATGTGGGTAAAACATTTGGAATGCCTTGTTTTCCAGGCCACTTGAATCATTATTTAGCTTTTCAGAAAAGGTTAACAGCCCAATTAAACAGTTACTGGAGTACTAAACATGAAAGCTGCTATATATCGAGCACTTCCAAGTTCAAGGCACCTGAGCAAGCACACATTAATGTTTCCGTCCTCCCAACATGACAGCAGGTGCCCTCATCATCTCCGGAGGCTCAGGACCACGGGCTCCGGAGCCTGGACACCTGCCACTTCTTAGCTGTGTGACCTTGTTATTTAACCTCCCCTCCTTATTCTTCTCACCTAGAAAATGGATCGGAGCCTAACTCATTTCGTTTATAGGCTAGTTGTAAAGATTAAATTAGCCAATACACACAAAGCATTAGTTTTTGGCACATAGCATTCAGTAAAACTTAGCTATTACAATCATCCCATTTGACAGAAGGAAAAACTGAGGCATGACGTGATATTTTCATGTTTTTAGATTAAGTCTAAATAGCGAAAGCATTTGGGAACAGAAAAAGCTAGAAGGTCAATTTTTTTCATTTCTAGTGTAGGGGATAAAAAATGGAGAAATTGAAGACGTTTTAAAACACATTTGGAAATAACTTAAAACATATTTTCTTGGTGTATTAACCATACTGGTGAAGAAGATTATCAAGTACTGATAAGCTGGTAGGACATCTAGCTTATTTCTTCTAAAGGAGGAAAAGACATGGGGTGCCTGGGTGGCTCAGTCGGTTGACCGGCCGACTTCGGCTCAGGTCACGATCTCGCAGTCCGTGAGTTCGAGCCCCGCATCAGGCTCTGTGCTGACAGCTCAGAGCCTGGAGCCTGTTTCGGATTCTCTGTCTCCTTCTCTCTGACCCTCCCCCATTCATGCTCTGTCTCTCTGTCTCAAAAATAAACGTTAAAAAAAAAAAATTAAAAAAAAAAATAAAATAAAGGAGGAAAAGACAAAACCCCTGATCAGTTTATGGATACTCTACATACTCGGTTTACTGTTTTTAATGTGGAAAATATTTCTACATATTTTTTAATCTCTTGTATTGGGGAAGTGTTTCCCTTTTGCTGCCTTCCTTAGCATATGCTTTCATCAAGTCTGGCAAACAAAATACCACAATCATCGCTATTTCTGATCTATTTTACAAAGAGAATTTGGGAGACAAAAACTTCTCTCCAAAAATGACTCTAACTTTGGTTTACGAATATATCTTGCTTTCTTTTCAAACTCCTTACTACTCATTTAAATCATACCTACTGGAGTAACTGAAAAAGACTGATCTTCTTCAGATAGTGAATAACTGTGTCTGTTTGAATCCAAACCCAATATATTTTCCACAACTTTTCGGGTTTGATTTCACGTCGGACAAAACTTTTGCGGAACCCTGAGTGCCTGCCCCTCTTCCTTCTGTCCCCCAACCTTGTATATCTACTAACCAGGAAAGGCTGGCAAAGATTAATAAGGGAGGAATTTACTGTTTGACACTGTGTCATTCACTCTCTGTCTCTTCTGAATTGCAATTACAGTTTTCAATTGATGAGCACTCAAGTATTGGGGCGCCAGGGTGGCTTAGTCGGTTAAGCATCTGACTTTGGCTCAGGTCATGAACTCGCGGTTCTGTGAGTTTGAGCCCGCATCCCTGCATCAGGCTCTGTGCTGATGGCTCAGAACCTGGAGCCTGCTTCCATTTCTGTGTCTCCCTCTCTCTCTGCCCCTCCCCTGCTTGCACTCTGTCTCTCCCTCAAAAATGAATAAACATTAAAAACAATAAATAAGTAAGCGCTCAAGTTATTAATCTAAAGACTATTCTCACCTGACCAGCTTGTCAGCCAGTGATGCTCCCCATCCACCCTGCTGGAAAGAAAACTGAAAAGAAAAAAAAAAAAGGCCATTACTACTTATCAGTGTGATTAGCCCATTTTAGTAAGGGGCATTTTGATCAGCAACTCCTTTTGTTCTCCCTTTGTACTCCCTGACTTTTTGGCCTTCATCACTCGCTTTCCATGGAGGTCATTTTAGGGATTACTATAACGAAGCCTCAGCAGCACTCTGGAAACGAGGGGGAGTTTTCTTCCCTATGGACTGGATTTGAGCCGGTCATCTGCGTTTTACTGAGACCTGATATTAGAGTCATTTTTACTTAGAAAAGCTACTTCAGTTTATGTGTGAGAGAGAAAATCAATTGTACGTTCAGGAAGGAAATGAAGTCCATGCAGTACTACATTTCCACAATCGAAAGAATAAGGAAGCTAATTCTAGAACTCAGGGGGTGAGCCTTTTTAAAATATACATTCCAGTAAGTTTGGAAAGCCCTTACTGCCCTACTTGCCTAAAAATGGCATCACTTATTGGCACGTACACAGAAAACTGGTTGAGGAAGTCACGTTTGAAGAGAAAAATAAGAACAAAACACCACACCACAGGGGTAATTTTTAAAAGTGTGCTTCCTCCCCGAAGGAGGACACATATTCGTCCTTAATGTGAGTTGAAATGATCTTGGGTGAGAAGGTGATCTACGGCGTTATTCCTGGGAGACATTTTATTCAAGATCAACTTGCTCCAGCAGAGGAAGCAGAGGTGAACTGGTTCCAGGGGTTTTCTGCACGCAACGGGCTGTACAAACCCGCAGGAAGTGATTCAGCCGCCGCCGTGCTCTCGCAGGTGACCCACCAGTGGAGCTCCGCGTGGGAAAGCAAGCACTGGCCGTGCGGTGAGCCACTGAAGGAGGCTGCGTGGAAAAGGAGGCGCACGTCCCCGCCTCAACTTGAACCAGGCCTCCCGATTCTCCCTAGGAAACTGACGAAGCGCGGTGAACTCGGCTTTGTCACTCCCAGGGCGTGGCCTGGACGAGTCACTGCACTCCCCCGCACCTGACCTCATCTGGAGGACAGGGTACACGGAACGGGTGTGCAAGTACTGCGCTGCCCACACCGTCATCCCGAGGCCACGAACAACCCGAGACGGGAACTCTGTCTGCCACGAGGTTCCGAAGGGGCCGGTTAAGACACGACGACCGTGAGGTCGCTGCTGGACGCGGCAGGCATTCCCGAGCAGATCGTGCTCAGGGGCGCTCAGCCTTCGGGGCCGCCTGTGCTGGGGGGAAACGGGGTGCAGGGGCGCGGCCTCGAGACGGGAAGATGGGAGCCTGAGAGCTGGGAGAGGAGAGCCAGCGAGGCTGCCAGGCCGGCGCTCTCAGCGGGGGCTTCGCCCAGAAGGCGCGACCGTGGACGCCCAAGGGACCGGGCCACACCAGGGCCAAGCGGCGGTACCTGGGTGATGGAATCTCCGAAGAGCAACACCCGAGGCCAGTACAGACAACTCGCCGCCTCGCACAGCGCCATATTGCCTGCCGACAGAAGGGCGGGGCGAGGACTGATATCCGGGCGGGGCGAGGGGGAGGGGGCGGGGCGGGGCGAGCGGGGCCTGGGCGGAGTTCCTCGCGGGCGAGGGGTGGTGGTGGTGGTGGTGGTGGAAGGAGGCGCCTGCGCAGTTCGTCGCCCTCCGATTATACGTCGGGGTGGCTGCCCGCCACACCCCTGGGTCCTGGGGCCGCGCTCCTTTGGCGACCGACCAGTCATTGTTAAGACGCGCGGTAGCCGTTGCCCTTGGAACGCTCATTTTTGTCCGTTTCCCAGAGCTCGGCCTCGTGCCTTCACTCCCGGTCCGTTCGTTCATCCCGAGTCTTTCCGGCGCGGAGCGTGCGTCGCCGCCTGCCCTCGGGCTGCCCACCGACCCTCCGGGAGAGGCACCTCCCCGCGCCCTGCCTGGCCCAGAGGGAGCCACCCCGCGTCCTCAGGTGTTTCCGCAAATGGCGGGAGTGTGAAGTAGGAACGGTGGGGGTAGGAAGTACTTCCAAGGCACTCATTCATCACACAACCAGCTCTTGTTAAATAAACGTACTCAACCGTTGATCGAAGGTTTTGACCTTAAAGAGAAACTTAACGGCATTTGCTAAAGACAGGAAGGCAGAGTATCCAAGGACGAAGATGGGGTTTTGCGGTAGGGGAGAGAAATCAGGAAAGGTGGGCACCCAGAGCCAAGGAGCAGGGTGAAGGGTGGAAGGCTGTAAAATTACTGAAAGGTAGAGTGTTTGCGTAACTGACAAAACCAGATTCTTGTTGCAGGTAGGCCAGGGAGGGAAGATACCAGGCGGGGGGTGAGGAATTTGAGCAGATACCCCGGGGGAACAGACCAAGGGTGGGTATTTTTTTCACTAAACCAACGCAGCAGGATTCTTGCCAGAACTGGTCTGGAGGGGAAACGGACGGAGCCCAAGCTGGGTTCCTATGGAGAAAACTCACAGGAGCTTGACTCCTTTTCTCAGTCCTTACCACCAGAGCCGTGCTATGAAGTGTGGCGCCCCCCCCCCCCCGGCCCGGTCCGTTGAAAAAAAACGAGCCAGAAGGATGTTTTGAAACAACTGAGCTTAAGGCGAAAACCAGAAGAGCAGAGGGAGCAGTGCGCCATTGAAAAGCAGACATACCGGAGTGCCTTGGTGGCGCTGGGTGAAGTGTCGGACTCAGGCTTGGCTCAGTTTGTGAGTTCAAGCCCCGCATCGGGCTCTGCGCTGATGGCACAGAGCTTGCTTGGGATGTCTCTCCCTCTGTCTGCCCCTCCCCGGCTGTGCTCGCTCTCTCTCAAAATAAATAACCTTAAAAAAAAAAAGCAGACATACCTTGGTGTGGCCGGCGCAGGGTGTCAGACGGGCGAATGGCTTGGAGAGGCAGGCAGGGGGATCAGAGCATGACCAAGTCTTCAGGCCAGGAGTTCCCTGGCTTCAGCTGGATCATCTGTGGAGCTTTAGAAACGTGCTGATAAAGGACGCTCACTTCACTCCAGACCAACTAACTTAACCTCTGACGGCAGGATGCGGGCATCGGTGGGGTTTTACTGCTCCCAGGTGATTCCAACGTGCAGTCAATGTTGAGAACCCCTGGCTGAGTAAGGTGTTTGGACTTAATCTTAGTTACAGTGGAGGCCTGAAGGACTTTCAGCAGGGAAGGCTTGCCAGCAGGTGCGTATTGTAGGAGTCAACTATGGGGAGAAGTGAGGCTTGGCAGGAATCAGAGGGGCCAGGATGACAGACTCACAGAGCCACGGGGGAGAGATGACAAAGGCAGGTTCAAGAGCAACTGAGAATCCTGAACTCAGATTGGTTACCTCAGGGAGAAGGCCTAGGAGAAAACACACGCACGTACCCTTTCTACTCTATATACTGTCTTACTGTTTTTAAATCTATCGTAACAAAGTCTTATACGACACTTCTAAAAGGTGACCCTCAGAGCTTTGGTTTGGGCCAGAGACAAAGTGGGGTTCCTTACAGAAGAAATGTATTTCAAGTAAAACTTCCGAGTTTTGCACTGGAGTTTGTCACTACCCTGCTCAATGGCTGTGAAGTCACCAACAGGTGAGGCCACAGGAGGACTAAACAGTGTCGGTAGAGCTTAGTGACTGGTTGGCACGCCTTTCGCTTGACAGTGAGAGTGGCTCTCGCGTTAGACGGTAGGTAAAGGTGGGCGTGCGCTCGTTCCCTCCGTAGGGGCGGCCGTCCCGCCCCTGTGTGGCAGCAGAGACTGGAGACCCCTGGTGACCTGCTCCCTCGGCACACAGCACCAGCCACTCCTGTGTCCAGTGATGTGCCAGTCTGAATTACACGTACTCCAGGAAACCGGTCTAATGATTACACAGAAAGCAATTCAACAACTCACACCTGAATACCCTTGAACTTGAGTCATAAAAATTGTATTCTGAATATCGGAATTGAATGTGCAGGTATTATACAAAGAAAATACCACTGAATCCCAAAAGTCGTCATTTTACAAATGTATAAATTAAGGAATCTGGCAAGAGTATCAGGAGGGAAGAAACACAAAAGGGGCTTTAGGTGATAATCTCTATGAAGTCAAACTCAGAATATGCACATGAAAATACAAACCACTGTGTATTTTCTTTCCTTTTTAAAAAGGACAGCAAGGCATTCTCATTCAGTTGCTATGGGCAGACCTGAAAGGTTTCAGGGGCAGCTGTGCACATGCCTGGAAGCAGAATCAGTAAGCTCTGAAGTAACAGTTTATTTGGTAGTTCTGGAATCATGGACAGAGGAGTTGGCAACTTAGCAGCATTTAAGCTGTTGGAACACAGGCCATTTGACATCACAAGTAAATAGGCTATTCCAGAGAAACTAACGTATTTTATTTTAAGAGAAGTAGAGTCAAGCATTAAAGACAAGCTTTAACATGTCCACAGACCCGCAGTTCTCAGTGAACTGGCGTGAGGGCCTCGTAGAGTCTCTGCGCGGCCAGCTCCACCATCTCCCGGAGGGACTCATCATCCTCGCTTCCTTCCTCACATTCGACCGTCTGAAAGTGAAAGCACAAACAGGCCTTTCGACGTTAAGTGTCTACAAGTGCTATATGGAAGAGAAACTACTCTTTAAGAAGAGTCATTTCCGGTGGGGGGGAGGGAGGCCACACGGACTCTCAAGAACCTGAACTGCGACACCGCGCGCGCTGGGGGGCAGGTGCCTGGATGCAGTTTCCCGACAGCACAATGACTGGGTCTGATTAGAGATGTATTTTGGAGAAAAAAAGAATAAACGGACAATCTATGGTGAACTATATTTACTTCAAAGCCCATATTCTGACCCAGTAAATGATACTACAAGGAAGTCAGTCTTTGTAATACAAATTACTGAGCTCTGGATGTGCTCGTCTGCTCAGCATTTGGAAGCTTTTTTTTTTTTTTCATCATTTGGTATTAAATTTGATTTAGGCTTACAATCTTCTAGTTATTTCTCAGCTACAAAACACTACAAGCTGTTTTATTTATTTTTTTAATGTTTATTTTTTGCGGTGCCTGGGTGGCTCAGTTAGCTGAGTGTCTGACTTCAGCTCAGGTCATGCACTCGTGGTTTGTGAGTCTGAGCCCCGCGTTGCCCTGAGTTGGGCTCTGTGCTGACAGTCTCCCTCTCTGCCCCGCCCCTGCTTGCACTCTCTCTCTTAAAAGAGACCTGGAGTTCTCAGTGAACTCTCTCTTAGAGAGAGAGAGAGAGAGAGACAGAGAGAGAGAGCGCGCAAGCGGGAGAGGGGTACAGAGAGAGGGAACAGAGGATCCAAAGCGGGCTCTACAGTGACAGCAGTGAGCCCGATGTGGGGCTCAAACTCACAACCTGCGAGATCATGACCTGAACGGAAGTCAGATGCTCAACTGGACTGAGCCACCCAGGTTTTATACGCTGTTTTAAAATTTTTTTATCATACCATAAATATTGTTCATATCAAAACTTAGTAAAGAAAAAAAATAACACCCTTATTCTATGACGTAATGATAACTACTGTTAACATTTTAGGGTATAACATTCCAGACTTTTAGCTATACATATATATTTCTTTAAAACCAAAATGGGGTAATTTATCATCCTTGCTATCTTGTAACTGTTCTTTCCACTCAATAATGCAGGTGGACACCTGTGCACATTAGTCACCCACATGGCCATCTTCCTGATGGCCTGTATATATATACTTCCCGATATATACAGTACTCCATGTATAAGCACACACCATACACATACTCTATTTATTCGGTTATTTTGTTTACTGCCTCCCACTCTTGGATATTTTGGTCTCTTGCAGTTTTGTTTATATTATAATCACTGCTAAAATGGAAATCCTTGTATATATATCTTTGCTCTATTTTATCATTAACTTGTCTAATTATTTTCTTCGTTTAAGTCCAGTTAAGTGTAACTGTAGATAAAGGCATTTATTTTTTGAGCCTTTCATGCATATCACCAAACTGCTCTGCAGAAAGAACGTGCTGTATCATTTAAAATTGCCTCCCCGCCCCAAACTGCACCTGAGAATAAACTTCCTGTTTTCACCATCACTGGGTCACAGCACTCTTGTTAGTAATCTGTGACCACATGATCGGCAAACAGTGATATTTCATACTTTCAGTCTGTATTTCCTCTAATTATTAGTGGATTGGATCTGAACATTTGTTTCCTGTGTTTGCTGGCTATCCATATTTCATCTCTAGAGATTCACTTGTTTATGTTCTTATCTTATTTTTCTACTGGGGTAAGATAAACTTAGTGTCTCCTCAAAGCATCTGTATAGTTACAGAACATAAAAGAAATTTAAAACATGTTATTTGCTTAGAACTGTTTTAATCTTCAAAACCAAGCCCGCAAGGAAGATATACTTATTCATTTATGCTTGTGGAATACTTATGTGGGATCTGTGGTGTGAGACCAGAGCAGGCTCGAATCCTATTGTCTGGGACAGCCACTTGGATCTTGCTGGTGCAAACCAGAGAGCGGCTTCTCTGAAAAAATCTAAAATCAACCGGATGCCAAACTAGAGAAAATGCCGGGGTGGATTCAGGCCTCTCGTGGAACAGGAAGACAATGGGGGGAATATACACATACCGACGTGTGCTGTGCAGTGCCGCGCAAGAACACTTAGAGAGGATGGGAAAGAAGCAATAAAGTGGGGTGCCCGCCTGGCTCAGCTGGAAGAGCACCCCACTTCCGATTGTGCTTGAAGTTGTGGGTTCGAGCCCTGCACTGTGTGTCGAGATTGCTTAAAAAATAATTAAAAAATAAATAAAAGAAAAAGCAAGAACGTATGACTTTACGTATAGTAACATAAACCCAGCCTGTGAAAAGCTATGTAGGAAAAATCTGGAAGGACACGTCAGAAGGGAAAAGTGTGCTGTCTGGTGTGAGACCAGATCATTTTTGTTCTCGCTTTCTTTCCCAAATGTCTTGATGTGTAGGAAGGAGCAGTTACATACCCGTGTCTCCAGGTTTATATTAGCAGTTTTTCCATCCACTGTGACACTGAGAATGGAACCGTCTTTTACACTTACACAGTCTTCTCCAAATATGTCCCTTAAGACAAAGATGCAACGTTAGTACAGAGTACATTTACAAATAAGTCAAGTACACTTTCGTATACTGAGGGAAAAATAATACTGAAAACAGCCCCTAATTCCAAAGTAGACGACTTCTATCTATTCCTGAGATGTACTTGATGTAACTTCACATATTTTGTTAATTTTATAAAATGAGTAAAATCCACAGCTATCATTAAGAATGCTTGCTTCAGGGGTGCCTGACTGGCTCAGTTGGTAGCGCATGTGACTCTTGATCTCAGGGCCGTGAGTTCAAGCCCCATGTTGGGCCAAGAGCCGACTTAAATCTTAGCAAGAAGCCCCTTCTACACAGAAGGAAAACAAGACACATGGAAGGGATCTGAAGCCCCGAGGCTGGAAAGCAGCAGAGCCGGTATTCAAATCCAGGCATCTAGTTGAAGTGGCTCACAAGTCCACAGGCTGCCTGCCCCTGTGAATCAGTTCCAGAAGCCTCGGAGTCAAACTATTCACTGAGCATCTTTTGTGTGTCATCTTCCTAGTGACAGAAGTCACTAAGACACTGCCTCTGTCATTGAGAAGCTACAGTTTTTTATTTGTTTTATTTTAGAGAATAAGAGAGCACGCACGAGTGGGGAAGAAGGGAGGGGGGAGGGGGAGAGAGACAGAGACAGAGACAGAGAGAGGGAGACAGAGAATCTTAAGCAGGCTCCATGCACACCTCGGAGTTCAATCCCGCGACCCTGGGATCATGACCTGAGCTGAAATCAAGAGTCAGACACTTAACAGCCACCCAGGCGCCCCTCAAGGAGCTACAGTTTAATCATTAATTTGCACATCTGTCCCCATCAGTTACAGGGGCTCCTGCAACAGCAGTCCAATCAGCAGGCTGGACACAGGCAAGAAAAGGCAGTCGGCGAATCTTCGTCAGCTATAACAGAAATGGCGCACCACAGAGGTCAAAGGTATCTGGAACTAGCTAGAGTGTTTAGCTGGAAGGATGCCGTTCAAGCCACGTAACAGACACAAACTCAGACATCCAGAGCGGTCAAGTAACCTGTCTGAGCCTCACAACCATTAGTGAGTCAGAACTAAATGCCAGCTGCCTCCTCCCCGCCCTCTGCCTTGCTCACCCTTTGTGGGGCAATAATTGGGGCAACACTTACTGGAGCATGATCTCCAACCTTTTGCTATAAACGTGCATTTCTAATTTTTTAGAAACCTTCTGTACTGCACCTGGGGGGGAACAAAAGCAAGAGTTCAATTTCCAAATTCTTATTTAAAAGAATTCCCGAGTCAGCAATCTGAACACAGTTATTGATAAGGTAATTAACTACGGAATCCTTCAAGTGACCAACACTCCATCTACCTGCTGCGGCAAACTGCTTTTTTGTTCTTGTTAAACAAAGAACCACAAAATGACATTTAAGATGATTTCGAATTTTATTTGTAATGTTTCTCAAACTTTTCCGCATTTCCTTTGTGAGTGAAGTGAAATCGTGACTCCAGGAGTTCTAGGGGCACATCCATGCTCAGAGATCTCTGAAGTTTTTGCTTTACCTAAAACATTATACAAATTTAGTACTGTACTATATATAATGCACCTGTAATGATTTTACTAAAATTAATATTTAAAATCATTTGCCAGTTAGGGGGTACCTGGCTGGCTCAGTTGGTGGAACGTGTGACTCTTGATCTCAGGGTTATAAGTTCGAGCCACACACTGTGTGTAGAGATTACTTTGAAGAAAAAAATCTTTAAGAAATGGAATGAAATAAAACGACTTGTCAGATTACTTAGCTTCCCCTTCCCAAAACAATCTGATGGTTCAGGAAGATGATCTGGAGTTTCAAGTGTGCCCAGGGACATAACCATCTCCCAGGCTATCACCAGCAATAAAACAGTACAGAACTATCTGGCCGTTTCTTACAAAGTTATTTTGCCATAAAAAGGAGTGAAGACTGATTCATGGTACAGCGATGAACCTTGAAAGCATTATGCTAAGTGAAAGAAGCTAGTCACAAAAACCCATGTGTGATAATTCTATTTATATGAAGTGTCCAGAAGAGGCAAATCCATAGAGACAGAAAGTAGATTAGTGGTTGTTTGGGGGATTATAGCTAGAGATACGGTGTCTCTTTGTGGAGTGATGTAAATGTTTTATAGTTGACTGTGGTGAATCTACTCTCTGGAAGAGTCAAATTGTCATTTCTTCCAAATTATAAGTCAGACGATAATAACTCTGATTAATTTTAACTCATGAGTCTTTTTCCTTTCTAAAAAATGTAGATATCGGGTTGTCTGGGTGGCTCAGTCAGTTAAGCGTCCAACTCTTGGTTTCGGCTCAGGTCATGATCTCACAGTTCGTGGGATTGAGCCCCGTGTCGGGCTCCGTGCTGATGGTGTAGACCCTGCTTGGGATTCTCTCTCTCTACCCTTTTCCTGCTTGTGCTCTCTCTCTCTCTCTCTCTCAAAATAAATATTTAAAAAAATGTAGATCTCATTGACATAGAACATTATAGGAGTTTCAGATATACAACATAATGATTTGATATTGGTATACATAGCAAAATGACCACGGTAAGTGTAGTTAACCGTCCATCACAACACACAGTCACAAAAGTTTTTTTTTCCTTGTGATGAAACGGTTTCATGAGTTTTAACTAAATATACAACAAACCAGATGCCAGCCTAGAAAGCTATATAATAAAACTTTATACTTCAATTATGATCAATGCTATTAAGTATCATATAAGCACTTAACTGACATGTAAAATCTCATAAAAGACAGTATTAAAAACATTTAAGCCATGAAACTATTAAAAGAAACTTTCAAAAATGTGAGTGCACATGTATGTATATTTGCATATTTATTACTAATATTTAATAAGCTCCTCAGACACCTAAGATTACACTGTGTATAATGTGAAATCATAGTTCTACACGTATAACTGCCCTTAGTAGTGTGTGTGTCAAAACAGGACACAGGTGCAGAAGAATGTAATGGAATGTAAGAACATAAAATAATGTATTTTGAAAAATAAGCTTTGCTGTGCATCCTCGTCCTCAGTGAGAAGGGATACAGAAATTGAAGTCGGGGCTAAACACACACACACAGACACAAATACAAGTTTCCAGAATCTGAACCCAAGTGTCAACAGGCTAAGAAATTAAAGGGGAGCGAAATGCTAGCAACACAGAATCAGACTGTTCACCGAAGTTGCCTCTCAAATAGACTTGGCAAACTTCTGGAAATGGCCAGATCGTGTTTTAGGCTTTGTGAACCACATGGTCTCTGCTGTAACTACTCAACTCTGCTGTGGCTGCTCAAAGAGCAGCACTAGACGGTATGTAAACAAACGGGCATTGCTGTTTCAATAAAACTTTATAAAAACAGGTGGAGGGATGGACGTGGCTTGTGGGCCTTACTTGTTGACTGCTCTAACACGTTAAAATACCATGTTTGGATACGACAAAGTCAATTCTTGCCACAAGAAATGTACAGAATGAACATCCTTAACTGCCCCATGTGCAGCAGATGAAAAGAGGGAGTGTATCAGTCCTTGTAATATTTTCCAGATTCTGAAGAAGCAAGTACTACCTAGTAAACCCTGTCACTTAGCCCTGAGGGTGACAGCAGCACTCCACGCTAAGGTATCACTTCCTGAGTCACTCCTTGGGTCACTGTCTTCTCTCTTTAAAATTCATCTCGTCTGTTTTCTCTCACCCTCTGTATCTAACCCAGGAAATACTGCTGGCTTGACCTTCGACGTTATCTCCAGAATCAAACCACTTTCTGCCACCAGCACCACTCCCACCCTCCCCAGAGTGCCACCTCCTACCTGCAGGGCCACAGGAGCTCCAACCTGAAACATCTGCTTTCTTACTTGCCCTCCCCAATCTCCTCTCAACGAGCACCACAGCAATCCTTTAAAAACCTTACAGTATTACTCAGTATTACAGTATTACACTTTACTCAGACTACAAGTCCAAAGTCCTTCAAATGGCCCACAGACCCCTACACATCTGCCCCCACTCCAAACCTCACGGGGTTAGCCCCAGCGCTAACATATCCGCTCCTAAAGCATAACAATCTGCTTTGTTTGCGGTACCTGAAGCACCTAGAAGAGTACCTGCCAAACAGAAGGTGCTCAATCAGTATGTGTCAAATGAATATGCAAGCACCTCACTACTCCAGAAGAAAATAGTATCCTTTTCATGTAACACAAAGTAGGCAAGAACGAGGGAAAATAGGCCAGCCAGCTAATTTAGCACAAGAAACTCATGGAAAAAAACCTATTCCTACTTGTCTCCAATGAATCTCTGCTGAAATGCCCAGAGGCTAACTTTAGGGAGAAATGTTTATATAATTATTGTTACTGAAAAGGGATCACTAATAATAGTTACTTCTGACTCAACGACCATCAATCAGAGCGAAGGTGCATTTTCATGCTGGATCAGAGCACTAAGAAAAGTACCCGGTGTAAGGTCAGACCGGTCTAGGATGGCTCACATGTTCCTTCCCTACAACACAGACGGGAAATACGAAGCCCGGCCGTGTTCTCAGCAAAGTGGGCATCAACACCGAAAGGTGCGCCCACGAAAAACCCCGCGTGTAATCCTTGGGTTCTTGTCCCCTGTGCTTCGCTCCGTCCCTTGTTCCGCTGCTCCTAACTGCTGTGCCACTAGTTAGTGGTGGCCTCTGTAAAAGGTCCCCCCTCCTACACACCCCCCCCACCCTGCACTTCATCCTTTACATTTGTATCACCTAAGATAGGCAAAATGTAAAACCGTCAAATAAGAGAAAACTGACCACTGCCTTTAAAACTGTTCTGGCCTGGGCGTGTTTTGTGCTCCAGGGCAGAGACTGGGACGCTGAATGAGCATCCTGTGAGAATCCGAGCTGGATGTTCTCCTGTGGCCTGTATAAACACACAGCTCCCTCCCCCACGTTAGGTGCACACAGGGGGATCCATTACCCATTGATTCAATTAAAACACATGATCAGTGGTGCCCAAATTGAAATTTTTAGTGTTACTCAAATTCAAATGCTTACCTCAGATGAGTAATTTACACTTGTCTAGGTATTTATTCATTCCAGAATTTAGTTGTTATAAGAAGATGCATTATGAACTATTCAGCTAAACATTTTTTCCTTCTGAAATCAAATACTACTAACCCATTTTTTATTTTATTTTTTTATTTTAAGAAAGAGAACTATTCTATCAGAGAACAAGATCTGAAGCTAGGAGAGGGGTACAGGCTGGCCTTTATTTCAGGCTGGCCCCTGAAATTCTTCAGGGTGACTTCCTCCCATAGTAGCAAAAAGGGCTACTTTATATGCCAATGATGCATACCTTAAGACATGTTTAATACTGATTTATGTATAAAAAAGAATAAAACTATGAAGACATAACACAAAGGTATCTTTACTAACACAAAGATATCTTTCTTTGACTGAAAGTTGCTACGTACCAAGAAAACAAAAAGTGGTTGCAAAATTGCCCTATAGAGAGATTCCATTCAGTTCAACAAGTTTTACTAAATATGTATAAGGCAGCATTATTTTTTACTAGACATGCTGGCTCAATTCAGCAATACTTTGGAATTTCTGTTAAACTGTTTTTAAGAGGACTATTACTAAGGAATTTTATCTTTGTGTTCATGGCAACCAGAATTTTGGCAATAGCACAAGACCCAAAACAGAAAGTAAAATATTAGTAATCTGCATTGTTATATTATATCTTAAAGGTGACAGGAAGGGGAAAATCAGATTTCAAGTTCTAGGACTCTGTCTTCTGCTTTTTAGTTCACAGACCACGGGAGAAGCCAAAGAATTAATTGATAAAAATGAAATAATGTTATACCTTTCCTGATTTTCGGGTTTGACTGAACTTCCAGGATCACGGTTGTTACTGTATCCGCATACATATCGTTGGAAGGGTTTGCTAACCACTGGGAAGCAAAAGGCAGAATTAGGAAGGTAGGAATACAGCTAACCACAAAAGACTGTACATATGGGACTTCTGTTTCTAGCATTTTCCACTGACATTAACTAATTGTTTCCTAAAACTAATAATGTGGGACTTCTCTAATGTCCTACTAATAACAATAGTAACATGTCCTGAGCACTTCCTCTGCGGCAGGGGCCTGATATGCATTCCCTCATTTAATCCTCCTACCCAGCACCTTCGTCTCACAGAGGTCACTGGTGTGAGGTGACCGGTGGGGACTGCTGGCAGCAGGCCGAGCCCTAAGCACCATGTTTCAGAAGTACACCCAGTGCTGGCACAGGGTAGTATCTCTAAACATGTACTTTTGTTTCTCACACGAAGCCGAAGCCTAGGACCCTGACGCTTGTGCACATGCTGGGTGGGTGTTCCAAGATAGTTTTCCAGGCCTGCCAGGCCAGGGAGAGAGCAGGTGAATTACTTCAGGAACACGTGCCTTCCCTACCTGTTACCTTTTCAAAAAGCGCTTTTACAAGCGTTGTGAGGCACTTGAAAACCTTTCTCTGAGACGCTCTTGGACATGTTAATTCCAGGGAATGCAAATACAGCATTTAGGAGAAAGAGCTAAATGAACATCTCTAATAATTTTTCCCTTTCCTAGGGCAGTAATGTTTATGTGTTATTGTGTCTGACATCGTGTTATAGACAACTACTCCTTCTGACACCTTCTTCAGTTACTTTCATCTTTATGAATCAAATTTCAACTTAAATCCCAGAACTGCAGTGGAACCCGAGTTGGCAGATCTTTTTTAGTTTTAAAAAATAATGTGTATGAACAAAACAGCGCACCATCTAGCTGGGACATTTACATGCGATTCTCCGTGAGGCAGAGAATGAAACCAGGCACTTCCCTGGATCATTCAGTTCGAGGATTCACTCTAAAAGTCCTTCTTTGAAGCGGACAGATGCCAAGCTATCGAAATCAACCATCAAATTAATCTGGCGTCTGGGTTCCAAATTCCACTTGTAGGAATTGAAAATTCTAATAGTAGAAGCCACATTCAGTGGTTTCTAGCCTTTGTGTATTTGGGTCATTTCAATATTGCTTATTTGAATTTTCAAAATTCCACGGTCTTAAAAGTGCTAACATGACAAGTCTATTTGTTTCAATGTAACAATTTGATTTTTCTCTTGAGAATGTCGGATGTTCTGATGTAACTGAAGACATCCAGGGCCATCACAAAATTAGTTGAAACTTCTCATCTGAGAGACCTATACTCACTATCCATGCTAAATATTAAGCCTTAATTTAATACTAGTTTTTATGTTACTAGAACTACATAGAAAATGCCCAGCAAGGTCATATTTAAAGCTGGTCTTGGAAAAAAACCATGCATGTATGTATTTTCCAGTAATTTTTTTCTTAAGAACAAATTTTCTCTACAATTATATGTGAAGTCTTAAAACTTTTTTCCCCTCTTTGTTTAGGCAAATGATCTTATCTTACTTCTAATACCACCATTCCTGGTTCCTGTATTACAGTAATATTTTTGAATACTTTCAGAGCAGGTTTTTCTTGAATTTCTAATTCTTCCACATCACCTGAAAAAAGGAAGCAATATTAAGATGTATATAATTTTCTGATAATCTTCCAGAGGCATCATTATTCCTTTGTTTATAGAGATAGCTGAAATAAATCTGATTCACAATGAAAAAATTAATTACTCATTTGAATAGTGAGATTTCAAATAACTAAGTAAGTTTTATGTTGATTGCTTACAGCAACTGAAAGATCTCAACATGTATTCTAAAAATTCATCTAATGAGGCAGGATTTACCTGGGACATGAAACATCTTATCAGTTGCAAACTTCGGTGATTGTTAAATATCTGTGTTTACGTAAGAGATTTAGCCACTAGCGTCTTAATACTCCACTAGTATCTTAAAATCTGACATGAGACTAGTCAACTACTGCCAATAGTCACTTCTTCCTTCTGTCTTCATAAGCTTAATCATTCTTTAGGGAAATTCTATTGTCTAAGAGGAGGCTTTTCTGGTCCTTCCAGTCACCTCTTAATTAAGAATTAACTCAGACATATTTTATTAACTTTCTATGTTATGACCTGTAATTCTCATGTGAAGATGAAGCAAAAAAAGATTTTCTTTCTACTGACTTATTTTATAGTAATAGTTTGCTATTTGAATAACGAAGAGCACATTAATAGAAAGTAATTTAAATTGTTCCCGCTTTGGGGTGCCTGGGTGGCTCAGTCTGTTGAGCGTCAGACTTCGGCTCAGGTCATCTCACAGCTTGTGGGTTTGAGCCCCGCACTGGGCTCTGTGCTGATAGCTCAGAGCCTGGATCCTGCTTCAGATTCTGTGTCTCCTTCTCTCTCTGCCCCTTCGCTACTTGTGCTCTCAAATATAATAAATAAACATTAAAAAAAAATTATAGAAAAAAAATTAAAGTGTTCACGCTTATTAGAGGGCATCCACGCCTTTTAACTTAGTCATTGCCTCTCATTATGTTAATACATAAAAATCTAACTCAAATGATCTAATATGAAAACAGAATAGGTTTACTGTTTTATTGGCCTTTGGCCAGTGTTCGTGTGTTCTTCTAAAACCTGCCGTATAGATTGGTACTGATGGAACCAGAAAACCTATTTTCACTGAACAAAGAAAAGAGATAGATGAAATTTAGAAGAGTAAACTAAAGTGGATTTTAAACATGAGCAGCAAAGGTTACTGATATTTTTAGAATTTTCAGTGGATCAAAGCTAAGAAGTATAATGCAATTAAAAAAAACTTAGGAGTATATTTTCAAAAATTTACCCAAAGGTGATAACATGTCCAAGTGAAGTGCAAATAACATCTGTGCAATTCTGAGACAACAACCCAAATGGAACAGTCTCCTTTCCTGGGTATATACTTCTCTTACTCAAAAGCAGAAAACAATTAGGTGAATTTCAAGAAATACCCACCTGTCAACTTCTGTAGCTGGTAATAGAGCAAATTAAAAGGACCAGTATATGGAATGGCTTGGGTCTGTTTCACAGTGCTCATGGCCAAGTCAGTATAATCTGAAGAGGAAATTAGAATAGATACACTTTAACAATACTGGTCGCAGAAAATAGAGCCTGTAAACACATACACGAGTAGAGAGAAATTAAAGCAAAGTAAAGGAGAACTTATTTTTGAGAAAGCTTAGAAGATGCTCCTTAATTGGTTCCTGCCCTACATTCCCCCCTTAACTCCCCACAGCCACCCCCCACTAGTTAGCTTTTGCTTCAGCCGTAAGAAAGCAGCCTCACTGCCCTAAAAAAATCAGGTCCCTGGAGATCTCCGAGCCAGGGCACCAGCTGTCCTCTGCTTTCTTCTGGGCCAGGCAACCCTTCTTCTGGGCCAGGCAATCCTTCACCACCTGCCACAAGGGCTACCTGGTTTGCAAAACTTGTTCCGACTTGTCTGGGTCCGTTCTCTCCTCATGCACTTACCATGCACCTCTCTGTCACTCATCAGTGCTGGGACTAGCTCTTGACAAGGCTGCACCTCTCCCTAGACAGCCTTCCAGGGGCTGGCACATGCTCTGTAGCATACCTTTAGTCCTCCAACGCCTGGCACTGTGCCTGGCACAGAGTAAGATCCACTAACCGCTGGATAGAGAACAAGTTACACTCCACTGTGTGATGGGCTAGAAGCTGACAGCTGGCCCAGCTCAGATGAATCCCTAAACACTGCTATTTCTTCCTCCTTCATGAGGTGCTCATACTCTGTTATGGCTATCTGCATAAAACTGAGCACCATTACTGAAGATAATAATACCATATTTACTGTGAAAGCAGTGATGGCTCAGCATTTACACAGGCACACGACATAAAGGCCCAGCAAGGAATGTACAACTATAGGTCACAAAGACCAAAATGTGTGTGTGTGTCGGGGGTGGGGTGGGGGGGCATTCAAGTTTACGTTAGAAAACAAAAGTACCAGGACTCCACTGTAAAAAGGTGGAAAACAGGCTTGTAAAGGGTCAGCAGGAGCAGTCAACCTGTCTTAGAGGTCAACTTATGTTCCCAGTTAAGAAAAAAGTTATTTTGCAAAGAATACAAACATTTAAGTAGTTCAAGGAAGATTTTTTTTTTCCCCCATAAAACTATGTGGATCATTAATTCATCAATTTCTATTTTATTATTTGGCTGCTACTTAAGATTTGGCCATTAGTATGAAAAGTTTTCACAGATTTTCTTTCAATATTAAAGTAACTGATATTTGATGTTTAATAGTATACTTACTGGAGAGGTCACAAGGAGAAAGTATGTGATAATTAAAGTTTCTTTTAACAAGTATTCCTGAGACCCGCTGGCCTTGTTCTGGTTTTTTGTCTGCTAAAAAGCCCATGACCTATTATTAAAATAAAAAAACACAAAAAACTTGAAAAAAACAGAATCTTGGAAAATGCAATTATTTAGATATTCAATCACAATGATGACCATCTGACATGTGAACCATGAAAATGACATGAATTTTAACATGAAAAATAAAAAATGTTATATAGGTCTATGATGAGGACAGGAACAGAGCCACCAAGAGACCAAAGGCAAGAGTCACGGGGCAGATCTGGCAAGAAGAGCTAGGTTCAATTCAGTTCCAATCAGTTCAGCAACCAAGTAAACGTATAGGTGCTGGGGCCTCCGAAAGCTGTCAACAGTTGTAATATGGTGGGAAGGCTGCAGGTGCAGGCCAGAAATGTACGTGCTCCTGCACGCTGGTTTAGGCCTCGTACACGGCGAGCTCCCTCATGCAAAGGTGCAAGTCTATACTGGGCTCAACACTAGCAGAGGAGGAGCATCTTTGGATAGAGAGGTCAATAAAGATAGGTGATATCTCATCAATAAAGATAAGATCTTGCCAATATCTGTCCATAAAGACAGGTGTTGAAGAACTCCTACGACCAAGGGGCAAGAATTTTTAAAAGAAAGTAATGATTGCTCAAAAACTAACAAAACCAAATACCTTACAAGCATGAAACCCAACTTTCTTAAATGTAACTGGTCTTCGCTACTAATAAATGAACCCAAAGAGGAAAAAGCCAGTGTATTTCATACTTGTTTCCTCTCATCAAGTAAGGACAAAGAGCAGCCAGGCAGTGATAACAGTGTTTGCTCTTATAACTGTATGAGGGGACAAGGCTCTACGTCAGATGATTTGTCAGGGTGACTTTTCCCTTAAGTGCTGGTGAGGTGATGAAAGGAGCACTGCCCCCAGGAGACCGATCTTAAATACAGGGATGGCCCAGATGACGAGAAGCTGGGTGAGCTTGTCTGCCTGCACACGAGCACCTCAGAGAGCAAGACCGAGAGAGCGAGGATTCCTCCGACTTCGCCCGCTGCGGCCGGCTGTGCCGAGCGCGTGGTTTCCAATGTGCTGATTTATTAACATACATACAGCTGGCTGGCCTGACACGTGTACAAGGTGAATGGCTTTTCTGATAGTTCTTTGTGGATCTGCTTCCCTTCACCTACTTCTTAGTTTCTGTTTTGCATGGTTGAGGATGGCTGCCGTAAAAGACTTCACCGTAAGTAAAGTGACTGCACTTCAGAGAAAAAAAACTAGAGCTAATGATTTTAAGTAACCACACCTATGGCTGAAATCACAGAACCACATTCTTTTTTTTTTTTAATTTTTTTTTTCAACGTTATTTATTTATTTATTTTTGGGACAGAGAGAGACAGAGCATGAACGGGGGAAGGGCAGAGAGAGAGGGAGACACAGAATCGGAAACAGGCTCCAGGCTCTGAGCCATCAGCCCAGAGTCTGACCCGGGGCTCGAACTCACAGACCCCGAGATCGTGACCTGGCTGAAGTCGGACGCTCAACCGACTGCGCCACCCAGGCGCCCCTCACAGAACCACATTCTAATACAAAGCTACATTTGGTATATCAATACCTGTACAAAGAAACAGGTATTGACAACAGTTTCTCTATGCATATACACAAGTTATATATAAGTGACATACACATCTATACTGTGTTCCCAGTTCTGTAGTTAAAACTTTTTAAAATGCTGCGTACTGTATTTCTTGAAGATTTATAATGCATAATGGCATAATAAAACTCTGAAAAGTCCAGCGGTAAAGAAAACAGCTTATTTTTGTTCAACTCCGCTTCTCCTAAATAGTCTGACTATAAAACCTCTCCTCCCTCCCTCTCAACCAGCAGAGTCTGGGAAATCAGCTCTTAGATTGCCAACTGAATACATTTTCCTATAGGTATAAGATTGCTTCCATTAAAAAGTTTTGTGAACAGGAGTCAATACAACCCTCTGTTCTTCTCTGGCAACAAAAGCCTCACGTCCTAACTTTTTCCCCCCTCAAACTCAACTGCAAGGAAGGATATTCATCAATTAGCCTTCTTATATCTGGCTCATTATATATTAAAAGAATTGCTGTAAATTCGCTCATTAATACATGTCTGATATTTAAAACTTCAGATAAATCATTAAAAATTTCCCTTAGAAGTATCTTAAAAAAAATCTTAACAGAAGGGGTGCCTGGGTGGCTCAGTCGGTTAAACGTCCGACTTTGGCTCAGGTCATAATCTCACAGTTTGTGAGTTCAAGCCCCGCATCGGGCTCTCTGCTGTCAGCACAGAATTGGCTTCAAATCCTCTGTCCCCCTCTTTCTCAGCCCCTCCCCTGCTCACACACACTCTTTCTCTCTCAAAAATAAATAAATATTTAAAAGAAAAAAAATCTTCACAGGAGGCAAAAATGTGGATACCTTATAGTATCGCTCTGAAGTCTCAGGTAAGATTTTTAACGATTTTATTTATCTTTTTAAATGTTTATTTATTTAAGAGACAGAGATAGAGGGTGAGCAGGGAGGGGCAGACAGAGGGTAACAGAGAATCCCAAGCAGGCCCTGTGCTGTCAGTGCACAGCCTGACTCAGGGCTTGAACTCATGAACCATGAGATCATGACCTGAGCAGAAATCAGTAATTGAATGCTTAACTGAGTCACCCAGGTGCCCCTTTAACTATTTTTAAATTCTGCAAATACTATATTTCAACATCAAAAAAGGACAAATTTTTGTAAGTTCCATCATACCACATATGTTTAAAGACACAGACCTATCTATCTTTACATTCTCTGGGAGAAGGACCAGTAGACATTATACTGTATGAGATGTAGTAATAAAACAGTAATGAATTTCCTTCCTCAGATACAGGAATGAAAAGGAAGTGGAGATGTGGTTTAAAAAGCTATCAAACTCAACTGCATTAAGATCTAACGTACTTGAAAATTTTCTATGTGAAGAAATGAACTAGAAGAATCAGAAGAAGACCTAAAAGAGCATAAGGAAACAATTCCTTCAATTCCTTTTTTTAAATGCTTATTTATTTTGAGAGAGAGAGAGAGAGAGAGTGAGCGAGTGAGCAAGGGGAGGGGCAGAGGGGAGAAAGAGGGAGAGAGAGAATCCCAAGCAGGCTCCAACCATCAGTGCGGAGCCCGACTCGGGGCTCAATCCCACAAAGTCATGACCTGAGCCCAAATCAAGAGTTGGATGCTCAAATGACTGAGCCACTCAGGCACCCCAAGATAAAATTCTTTTTTTAAAAAAAATTATATTTAATTTTATTTTTTTAAATGTTTATTTTTGAGAGAGAGAGAGAGAGAGAGAGAGAGAGAGGCAGACAGACACACGGATTATGAGCAGGGGAGAGGCAGAGAGAGAGGGAGTTACAGAATCTGAAGCAGGCTCCAAGCTCCAGGCTGTCAGCACAGAGCCCAAGGCAGGGCTTGAACTCATAAACCATGAGATCACGACCTGAGTTGAAATCAGACGCTTAACCAACTGAGCCACCCAGGTGACCCCAGGAGAAAATTCTTATAGTATACTAAGTAAACAGAAATCATCATTAAGCACATTATCTTGCTTTGATTAAAAGAAGGCTGTATTTTTAAGTATACATTTCCCTTTAGAAAAGACCTGGGTAAGATTAGAAATCACAACCTTTTACCTTGGCTAGCTTTTCTCCTCTGAAATTCAAGGTCACAGCTTCTGTATTCCGAGGATTATGAACCTCTATGTGAACTTCATCGTTATCTTCATATTCTCGAATCAGGGCTGCTTTCAATCTGGCCATTTCATTTTGTTCTCCATGGACTAAAATCTACACAGAATGAATTTTCAGAGAGCACAGGGAAACACTCTTAGTGTGGGTTAATGATGGTCCCTATCTGACTTAAATATTGAAACACATATACTCGAAGTTATTAAGCTGAACTACTTTGAAGGATCTCCAGTCAATCAAACTTGTATAGGTATTTTCATTCTGTTTGGCCTTAAAAATCCTGAAGTGGAACTATTTTAAGAGAGAGTAAAGAAACTTCAACTTCAGTCTTTTGCCACTAACAAGACATACAACTTTGTGGAAGCTGGACTTTTTCTAGACTTCCGTACCCAACTGCAAAGGGCTGGACCACGTGACTTCTGTAAACTCCACAGCCTCTACCAGCTTTAGATACATGATTCCTGTATCAAACTATTGCCACTCCTACTAATGAAGAAAACACCCATAGTTTTCTTTACATTTCTTAATACAAGCCTGTTTTTTTTTTTAAGTTGACTTATTTTGAGAGAGAGAAAAAATCCCAAGCAGGCTCTGCACTGTCAGCACGGAGCCCAATGCAGGGCTCCAACTCACAAACCAGGGGATCATGACCTGAACCAAAATCAAGAGTTGGACGTTTTACTGAGCCACCCAGGTACCCCATCTTAATACAAGGCTTTCTAAAGAAGCTTTTTATAGGGGATAACAAAGACCTTTGATATTTTCTTCTGTTTATTATAGTAATACCAAATAAAATATTTCAGAACCAAATGAAATTGTGTTTGAGGGGTATTGACGACAATTGCATCAGATACCAGTCTCTTCCTATTCACTTTTATAACCTATATTTTACAAGACAGATCATCCTTAATCTATACATTGCTGCCTGGGCTAACAGAAGCCAACCCGGCATCCCTACTAGACCTAGCAAAGAGCCCAGGCTTCGAGGCCTGGCTGCTTAAACACAACGCCCGGCTCTTCGAACACTTACTAGCTCCGTAAACTTGAGCAAGTTACGTAACATCTCGGTTTTCTCATCTATAACCAGTTGTTGGTTGTGAGGAGTAAGCAAGTTGATACACGTAAAACATGAGTACAGGGGTGCCGGGGTGGCTCAGTCAGTAGAGCACGCAACTCTTGATCTCAGGGTTGAGAGCTCAAGCCCCACGCTGGGCCAGAGATTACTTAAAACAGGAGTACAGTACCTGGCACGTGGTAAATAATAACTGACAGCTGTTGCTCATTATTACTACCAACACTATTGTTACATTATCATGTAGATATACTTTTGCTGACCTGGTTACTGAAGGAAGGTAAGCATCGAGTTGAATCCAGGAATTTTAACTGTCAGCAGAGAGAGAGCCTGAAGAGCAATGAAATGGCCTGAGGATGAGGTGGTGACACCAGAGAGAAAGGGCAGTACAACACTCCCTCCCTGGCTTTAAAATGTGGGGGGAATATCCATAAACCACATACGCTAGGAAACACCTGTAAGGAGCCTGCACTGTAGCTCAATTCGACCGTTCATGATGCTAAAAAGGAGAGGGATTTTTCCCCACCCGAGAATCTGCTTCCTACGTAAGGACCAATGGGAAAATACCTGTGAGGACTACCATGCCAGAAAGAACTCAAAAACGAACAAAAAAGCACATGAAGGGATGCTCAACATCACCAGTTGTTAGGAAGTGAAAATCAAAACCACAATGAGACACCACTTCACACTTACTAGAATGACTATAATTAAACAAAGGCAACTAGCAAGTGTTGGCATGGATATGGGCTAACCGGCATCCTTGTGCACTGCTGGGGGGAAAGTAAAATGGTGAGGCCGCTATGGAAAGGGTTAGTGAGTCCTCAAAAAGTTAACAACACGTGATCCAGTGATTACACTCTTTGGTATATGTGCAAAGGAACAGAAAACAGCGACTCAGATTCTTACAGGCCCATGTTCACTCTAGCATTACGTGTTCATTGGCAGATGTGCAGACAAAATGTGGCATCTACACACAACGGACTGTTATTTTCATCCACACAGAGGAATGAAGTTCTGATACATGTTACGATACAGATGAACCTTGGACATATTATATATATTTTATATGATTTCACTGACACGAAATATCTAGAATAGGCAAATTTACGGAAGTTAATTAGAGGTTACCTGGGGCTGGGGAGGAGGAAATGGAAAATTTTTGCTTAATAGGTACAAATTCTTTTTGGGGTGATGAAAAAGTTTTAGAAATAGATAGTGGTGATGGCTGTACAATACTGTGAGTGTAATTAATGCCACTGAATTGTACACTTAAAAATGGTTAAAATTACAAGTTTTATGTTATATATATTTTGCCACGATAAAAAAAAAAAAAAACTTAAGGAAAAAAATTAGCAGAAGGCTATTTCCTCTAACTACTTGCAAATACATTCAGAAAGGGCACTTCATCTGTTTCCCAGACACATATTCCCTGAGTGTTCTGTTGATTAAAAATACATGTTTTTTTTAGCTTTTCCCTCTTACCCCCTCCCTAGTCCCACCAAAATATAATTGTTATTTTCATAATTACATGGAACTTAAAAATATAAACAAAGCACATCAGTAAGGAGCTATGTAATACATTTCGTATCTATTTGGATCTTTATTTTTTTATTTTTTTATTTTTTTTTTAAATTTTTTTTTTTCAACGTTTATTTATTTTTGGGACAGAGAGAGACAGAGCATGAACGGGGGAGGGGCAGAGAGAGAGGGAGACACAGAATCGGAAACAGGCTCCAGGCTCTGAGCCATCAGCCCAGAGCCCGACGTGGGGCTCGAACTCACGGACCGCGAGATCGTGACCTGGTTGAAGTCGGACACTCAACCGACTGCGCCACCCAGGCGCCCCCTCTATTTGGATCTTTAATTTCTACCATTACATGACTTGTCTTTCCCTTCTTTCCATCTTATTAAGCATTTACTACATGCCAGGCACCACTTTAGATGCTTTAGATATATATGTTCTCTCACTCCTTCCTCACAATAACCTCATGAGGCATTGTTATCCCTATTTACAAATGGGGTACAGAGAGGATAAGTAATTTGCCCAGGGTTACACAGCAAGTAAGGGATAGAACGGGGATTCAAAACCAGCATACTGCAAAGCCTGTGCTCTTAAGTCACTGGGGAGGCAACAGAAAGGGACAGAAAGAGCACTGGGTCTGGATCTGGTGGATCTGATAAGTGACCTCAGGTAAGTAGAGAAAATTACAGCGCACAGCTTGCCTAACTCAAAGGGAAGCTGTAGAGGTCAGATCCAAGTACAAGCAAAAGTGCTCTGTTGAAAGGCTACCTTAGCGACAAGCGGTGTTTGACTTGAAAACCAGCTGCTACGGTTTCTTGGGTATGTTTCTTTCCCCTTTAATGTTAGAAATCAAATTCATAGACTAACCACATGAGGCGGTTTCAAAGCACGGATAAATTCACTGGTTTGTTGGTAATCTGTGTGAGCAGAGAAAGAAATGTAATCAACAGACATTTTCAGCGGTAACTTCTGTCCAGACATGGTAGTGATTTCTTCTGGTTCAGACATGATATGCTGTGAAAAAGAAAGAAAAATTTAAAAAAGCAAAACAAATAAACTACCCAGTCAGAAAAGAAAAGGGACATTTTCTATTTTTTTTAATGCAGCCATAAACTCTTACATTAAATTTAGGACCTTTAGCACAAAAATCATTCTAATAGCGACTTAGTAAATATCAAATACTTATTTTCTTGAGCAAGCAAATATTTAATCAGGAAAGCAGGCAGGTTAACTAAATTTCAGTGTATTTGAAATACTGGAAGTGACAACTGTTAACTTGTACAATTGTACAATACAAGCCAAACTTGTATTCCCAACTATTCTCTTGCTTGGTAAAGTCGCTTTTCAAACAGATGTGCTTCTATTCTGGAAGTCAGTTTTATTTTATTTTTTAAACATTTATTCATTTATTCTGAGAGAAAGCATCCCAAGCAGGCTCGTGCCATCAGCACAGATGGATGCGGGACTCGAACTCATGAACTGTGAGATCATGACCTGAGCCAAAACCAAGAGTTGGACATTCAACCCACTGAGCCACCCAGGTGCCCCGGGAATCACAACGTATTTTAAGAAATAAGACAAGTTATATAGATAACAGGGGTAAGAGAATGTGATGCTTGGATGTTCAGAAACTGTTTCTAAAGTTCTGCACGTACTTCCCACAATGTGTACATCCCGAAGAGCTAACATCAACCATTCTGCATCGTTAGGAAGAAAGGCAATCAACCCAAACACCTTCTACAGCTTTTCAAGAGAATACATATTAGTAAACTTCTTCAGTGAATGAGGGTATTCATGTTTTTGTTGGTCTCAACTAGGTTCCCTTCCATACTTTTTACTGCAACAAGATTAAGTGCCTCTCAGACTTTAACGTGCCACCTTGGCAATTCTGATTAGGAATGACACAGTGGTCTCATAGCTGACCTTGGCAAGTGTCCCTTCTACACAGTACCCTGCTATAATGACGCCGTTCCTCTTATCCGTGCACCAGCTTTCAAAGAGCTCTCTGGATAAGCCACTTTGCATCATGCCCGGGGAGGCCATGACGACACTGGGACCAATGTCATCAAAATGATCCATGCTCTAAGAGAGAAAAAGGAATGGTAAAAGCATGCTAAGCACCAGGGTTTGGCAAGGCTGTCCTTATTTTTAAAGAATAACGAAAAGGTAGGTGAAAAGATTGATAACACTACTGTAAGGACCTCCGAGACGAGCAAACATTTTAAGTCTAATTTCTCAGTTCCTAAACAACTGAAGCTAGGAATGAAAGGAAAACAAAGTGATAAGAAGCAGTTAGTTCACTCTGTCCTTCTAAACCTTCTACTGGTAGTTAATGGGCTATTATAGGACCATTTTCATTGCCAGAGGGCAGGCAGGAAAAAAGTAAGAGTCAAATGGCTTTCTATCTGCCCAAGAGAGAATTAATTCCAAAAGAACTTTCCCACTCACAATGGCTTTGCATACTTCACAAATATTTTGAGCTGGCCTAAAAAATCTAACCAAAAAGTTTAACATTGTTTCCAGGGAAAACTTGGCTCTAGTTCTTAAGCAATTAACTTAAAAAATAATACTTTATGGACAGAGCCCACTTACAACTGGAAGATGACTTCTAGCACTTGAATTATTTGGGGCATTATTTTATTAAGAGTATAGCACATTAACTTTAATAAAACAACATATATACTTAAAAAAATTTTTTTTTACATTTGTTTATTTTTTGAGAGACATAGAGAGACAGAGCACAAGTTGGGGAGGGGCAGAGAGAGGAGACACAGAACTGAAGCAGGTTCCAGGCTCCAAGCTGTCAGCACAGAGCCTGACGTGGGGCTCGAACTCACAAACCATGAGATCATGACCTGAGCCGAAGTTGGACGCTTAACCAACTGAGTCACCCAGGCACCCCAATAAAACAATATATTTTTAAAACAACATTTTTTTAACTAAAGGAAATCAGCTTTTATTGAATGCTCTAGAAAAGTAAACATATGAAAATGTTCATACATGGAATTTGCAGTGCAAATCAAAAAGACGATTAAGTTTGAGGAAGGACAGAAAAACGTTAAGACGTAACATAAGATATTTTTCTCATCAAGACTTTCTGTTTCTATGGCAGGGAGACTAACTTATTCAGCAATAGTAAATACTGGGAACCAATGGAGACTTGGAACGACTGGCAAGATTTAAGCAGAGGAGAATGCCAGTTGCTAAAATTTTGTTTTCCTGCAGGAAAATGGTGCCTGCTACAGAAAAGGCGAGACCTCAGCCAAAAGGACTCGGCCCCGGAATCAATGTGCTATCGACTTCTCTGTGTTTACCGGTCCTTCCTCTTCCTCAGCACTCACCTTGAGGTTACTGATGTGCTTGAACACAAAGGGATTGTTGATGTTGATCTGTTTGCGGATTTTGTCGTTCATGGCATTTACGTACGTCTGGTACACTGCCATACACTTCTTGGCCAAAGACGACGCGTAGTATATGGGAATATCATGGAGTTCTGGGTGATTCTGCCAGTACTCGTCTAGAGAGATTTCATCAGAAACAAATTTCATTTTGTTATGTGGGATAAATAGTTCAAATAATAAGTGATACATGTAATTAATTTAAAGAAATTCAGACATCCAAGAAATAAATCAAAACATTTAAATATGTATATAAATCTGTATCTATAGATTTATATTTATAGAAATAAAAAAAACTCTATATATCCTTCTCTTGCAATTTCTACAAATCACTAATTTATGTGTTAACAGCAAAGATATCAAGGTTTGGAACCCCTGGAGTGTTAGAAATGCAATTTGTAATTACGAACACACAACAATTTGTTCAACATGTCGGCTATGTCTGCAGTAATTATTACCCTGCTTAAGGGTAAGCCACATTTAAGACATTGCTATGCACAGGGATGGAAAGCCAGGGGTGGGGGTGCTGGGCTCAGACCTTGCTTGTTTTCCTTCAGGCCACTTCCTCTCTCAGGGTCCCTTCTGGTCCCTCCTGGTCCCTCCCGCAGTTGGCCTCGTCCTCATGGCTCTGCACCTGGTGGGCCTCTCACGAGGCTGGCCCTGCCTGCGGACACCCAGGTAACAAGAAGCGGGCACTCCTTCCTGGGACGCATTCCTAATGGATCTTGCCTCCTGCCCTCAGGAAGGGCCCTGTTCCAGGCTTGCTTCCCATTTTTCCTGGACAGTCTGGGACACCAATACCTTCCAGTACATTCCCTCCTGCTTTAGTCAGTCAGCCTGCTGTAGGCTGCTTGTAATCAAGACTCCGACTTCTGCCCCTTGGTGTCCCTTAGCGACCCTGCAGTCCTGTGGGGGGGACAGTTAGCTGCACTAGCAGCAGCTGCTATTTCCTGAGCACAGATTCTATGCTGGGTGCTGAAGAGGGCTCACGTAGGGTGTCTGAAACCACACAGAAGGCACGGAAGCTCAGAAATACCAAACCACTTGCCCAAGACGCAAGATCACGCACTGGAATGCAGTGATTTGATACTAACAGATGGCCCAAAGCCCTGGGATGCAGCCTCTGGTTGGAAAGCACGCCCCTTCATTCAACACACATTGGCCCCCCTTGTGCTTTAGCTCTGATGCAAGGTACAGAAGCTATAAGAGAGCAAGGGAAGGGACTGTCAGGCTCTGAAGGTTTCCTAAGTGCCCAGCCCCGGCTAGGCTAACATTTTTTTTTTTTTTTCAAATTGAAGTATAAAGTATAATTGACATATCTCATTAGTTTCAGGTGTACATCACAGTGATTCAATATTTTTATACATTACAAGATGATCCCCTACCTAGCATCTGTCGCCAAAATTATTACAGTATCACTAACCATATTTCCTATGCTGTATGTTACATTTCCATAACTTACTTGTAACTGGGAGTTTGTACCTCTTAATCCCCTTCACCTATTTTGCTGGACTCCTAAGCCCTCCCACCTCCAGCAACCAACAGTTTCCTGTATCTATGAGTCTGTTTGTTTGGCTTTGTTTATTTATTATTTTTTAAAAGATTAAAAAAACACATTTATTTCGAGAGAGCGCTCAAGCAGAGGAGGGGTAGAGAGAGAGGGAGAGAGAGAATCCCAAGCAGGCTCCTCGCTGTCAATGCAGAGCCCAATGAAGGGCTCAGACTCACTAACTGTTGAGATAGTGACCTGAGCTGAAATTAACAGTGAGACACTTAATGGACTGAACCACCTAGGTACCCATTTTATTTTTTAGACTGTACATATAAGTGAAGTCATACGGTATTTGTCTTTCTCTGACTTATTTCACTATGCAATACCCTCCAGTTCCATCCATGTTGTTGCACATGGCAAGACTTTGTTCTTTTCTAATGTGGAGTCACATTCTCCACTGTATATGCGTGCCACATCTTCTCTGTCCACTCATTAATCAATGAACATGTGGGGCATTTCCATGTCTTAGCTACTGTAAATAATGCTGCAATGCACAGGGGTGCATATATGTCTTTAAATTGGTGTTTTCCTTTTCTTCGGATAAAAACCCAGAAGTAGAGGGGTGCCTGGTGGCTCAGTCGGTTCAGTGTCCGACTCTTGATCTCGGCTCAGGTCATGATCTCCTGGTTCATGAGTTTGAGCCCTGCATCAGGCTCTGTGCTGACAGTGCAGAGCTTGCTTGGGATTCTCTCTCTCTCCCTCTCTCTCTCTGCCCTTCACACACTCTGTCTCTTAAAATAAATAAACTTAAAAAAAAACACACAAAAACCAGAAGTGGAACTGCTGGATGGTATGGTAGTTCTTTTTTTAATTTTTTGAGGAAACTCCACACTGTTTTTCAGTGGCTGCACCAATTCACATTCCCATCAACAATGTGTGACGGTTTCCTTCTCTCTATATCCTGACCAACATTTATCTTTTTGTTTCGTTTGTCTTTTTGATAATAGCCAATCTGGCAAGTATGAGACGGTATCTCACTGTAGTTCTGATTTGCATTTCCCTAGATGATTAGTGATGCTGATTATCTTTTCATGTGCCTGTTGGCCATCTATATGTCTTCTTTGTAAAAATGTTTCTTCCAGGCTCCTGCCCGTTTTTAATCACGTTTTTTAAGTTGTGTAAGTTCTTCATATATTTTGGATATTAACCCTTTATCAGATGCATGATTTGTAAACATTTTCTCCCATTTAGTAGGTTGCCTTTTCATTTTGTGGTACATAACTATGTTTTAAAGAGTTCAAAAAAAATTAGCCTGGTCCTTACTAACTTAAACTTACAACATCAAAACTTATTTCTGAATACTAGTGCAAGACCTAAAAAGAAGATTGTGATCATAGTCCCAAGCCATGGAAGCTTTTATTTTTTAATTAATTAATTAATTAATTTATTTATTTTGAGAGAGAGAGAGAGAGAGCAAGCACAAGGCGGGGAGGGGCAGATAGACAGGGAGAGACTGAGAATCCCAAGCAGGCTCTGGGCTCCACGGGGAGCATGACACAGGACTCACACTCACTAACAGTGAGACCACGATCTGAGCTGAAACCAAAGTCAGCGCTTAACGGACTGAGCCATCCGGGTGCCCTGACGTGGAAGCTTTTAAAAATGACTCAGTAGAAGTTTACGCTGAGTAACAGACCATAACTTATTATCTTAGAGAGACTAAATCCTGTGACAATTTTAAATAAAAATGTATTCTCAATATTTCAAAGACTTATCAAAATTAGACTTTGTGTAGTTAAACTTTGCCAGTTAAAAAACAGGACTGTCGAAAGAGTTAAAATAGTTTCTGAACACATACAAACAATATTACTGTACAACTATATTTTTTTGAAAAGCTGCTAAACAGTTTCTCATAATAAACAAAACCTGTCGGGGTATCTGGGTGGCTCAGTCGGTTAAGAATCTGACTTCAAAAAAATCTGACTTCAGTTCAGGTCAGGATCTTATGGCTCATGAGTTCAAGTCCCATGAGCCCCACGTGGGCCCCTGTGCTGACAGCTCAGAGCCTGGAGCCTGCTTCAGATTCTGTGTCTCTCCCTCTGCCCCTCCCACGCTCACACTCTGTTTTTCTCTCTCTCTCAAAAATACATAAACATTAAAAAAATTAAAAAAAAATAAAGAAACCATCAAATCATTAAAAAAAATAAACAAAACCTGTTGGCAATATATGCTTACAAATTGTGGTTTTTTTTTTTTTAATGGTTATTTCTGAAAGAGAGAGAGAGAGACAGAGACAGAGCATGAGCAGGGGAGGGGCAGAGAGAGAGGGAGACACAGAATCCGAAGCAGGCTCCAGGCTCTGAGCTGTCAGCACAGAGCCCAACACGGGGCTTGAACCCATGAACTGCGAGATCATGACCTGAGCCAAAGTCAGACGCTCAACCGCTGAGCCACCCAGGTGCCCCTAACATACACAATGTATCTTTAAAGGAAGGCTCATTTTACAAGAAAACTCTCATTAAATCCCAAAATATTATAAGAGTAGCATAGTCAAAAGGTATCATTTGTTCTCCTAGGTGTACCTGCATTTAGAAAATGCATTAAATGCCTAGTATGCTATTTACATTTATTATTTCTAATTTTTAAAACAATTCATCTCTATCTTATAGATTAGGAAACTGAGGCTGAAAAAAGGTTGAAGAGTGTGGGAATGGTATTTTCCTACTTGATTTATAAGTAAAAACTCTATATAAGGACAGGGACTTCTGTCATGTAGGTTACAAATATATTTCCTGCTTCACCCTTTGCTTTATTCTGCTCATGTTTTTACTGGTGAAATTAAAAATTTTAATGCTGCCTAAGTTTTCACATACTCTTTTATTTCTCAAATACCTTGCATTGCCTACTGCATCCCAAGATCACATCACATCTCCTATTTGTGTGTGTGTGTATTTTTATGGATACATTTTAAATATCAAAGAAAAGTTGAGTAACTTGCTCAAGGTCACACGGCCAGAACACAGATGAGATTTGAAACCACTCCTTCAAATGGCTGCCCTCTTTCTGTTAATACTATATCACAAGGGAGAATTTAGGGGAAAAGGAACAACCAATTGCATAGAGGAGGAATCGCAATATATGCTCTGATGGCAGACTTGCCAGGTAAAATTATCAAATGCCAAATTAAACTTGAATTTCAGATAAAAAACACAAGATTTTCGGTATAAAAATAGGTTACTAAATCTTTGAGACACTTGTGCTAAAATATTCTTCATTATTTTTCTGACGTTAAAATTTAACTGGGTGTCCTATATTTTTACGTGCTGAATCTGGTGACCCAATTTGACGGTAACAGCCATGGCTTCAGCTTCCCAATTTCTTCTGTTCTTCAAATTACTTTGTTACGGAGACGTTTTAGTTCGAGACTTCTGAGGGCAAATTTGACTTGCAGTTAGAAAAAAAAAAAAAAGAAGCAAGAGGGGCGCCTGGGTGGTTCAGTCGCTTAAGTGTCCGACTTTGGCTCAGGTCATGATCTCGTGGGTTTTGAGTTTGAGTCCTACATTGGGCTCAGAGTCTGGAGCCTCCTTCGGATTCTGTGTCTCCTCCTCTCTCTGCCCCTCCCCTGCTCATGCTCTCTCTCGCTCTCTCAATATTAAATAAGCGTTAAAAAAAAAATTAAGAAAAAAAGGAGCAAAAGAACATTGGATTGGCTTAGGGCGCAGAAAATGCAGTCCTACTATGTCTGATCTCTCTCACAGATCAGCTTTCGAGCTGAGGTCATTTACTCCGTTTTTCCTTGTTTTCCTTGTCAGTGTAACAGGGACAGACTTATCCGCATCATCCTAGAGATGGGAGAGCTGAGAGCAACAGCTTGATGTGACCATTTCTAGTTCTTTGCACTGAAGCTCTTTACACACAAGGCGCTCAGTCTTTAAGAAGAGTGCTTTCCCCAAATAGCACCACAGAATGTCTGAGTTAGAATCGTTAAATATAAATACATGCGAAGAGTGGTACCCAAAAATTTATACATGCTCATTGAAGTATTTGCAAAGTAGAGAAAAGCAGAAAATAAAAAAAGAAATCATCCACTTTCTCACTATGCAGGCTTAACATCTTTCCAGTCACTGGTGTATTGTTTTTTAAGATTTTAGTCTTAAGTAACCTATACATCCAACATGGGGATCGAACTTAGAATCTCGAGATCAAAAGTCTCATGCTCCACCAACTTAGCCCACCAGGCAGCCCTATTTGTATATTTTTAAATAGGATCAGAGAACATACTGTTCTGAACTCTAACCTTCTGATTCCAATTAATTTTTTCCTTTTTCTTTCTTTCTTTTTTTTTTTTTTTAAGGTAGGGTCTGTGGGGCTTGAACTCACGATCCTGAGATCAAGACCTGAGCTGAGATCAAGGGTCAGACGCTTAACCGAAAGCCGCCCAGGCCCGCTGGTCCAATTATATATATTTTATATACGTCCATATGCATTTTATGTGCCAACATACAATTACTCATCTGTGACATGATTTTTTCCTACAAGGTGATATTTACTGACATGATATTTCTTTAAAAATACTGAAGCAATGATTACTCTTATTCATAAAATTGTCTTTACATCATTTATTTCCCACACGTGGTACTACTGGATCAAAGGGTAGCAGGTTTTTCGGACTTCTGAGCTCACTGCAGAGAATTCTGAGGCTGATGGCAACCAGAAGGGGGAAATATTTATATTTCCAGTAGCAGCGCCCAAGGGCCACTGTTTCTCGGGGCTTTTATAGCTCCACATCTGCTTTTAGATGCAGAAACTGAAGCCTGGAAAGACAGAATGATCTCGCCAAGGCCAGGCAATTATCTTGACAGAGCCACACTCCAAGATTATGAAAATCCCCCAAATAAAAAGGAAAAGCATACCTAAGATCAAGAGCAGCTCCTGAGCCCTTCCAAGAGCAAAGACGGGAATGAGGCCTCTGCCCCCTCTGTTTACAATGTCATGAACGGTGTTACAGAATCTTGCTTCTCTCTCTTCACGCTTCTCATGGATGTGCGTCCCATACGTAGATTCCTAAATAACACATTAGAAGTAGGAGACCAAGACTGACAATTCTCAAAGAATACAAAAGTGAAACATCAATAAAATGCGGAAGCAAAGTGATTCGTTTCTCCATTAACATGCCATTTACTTGAACACATACTGTTATAATACTAATTGGAAAAAAAGAGCAAATAAAAATGTTAGAATTCAGATCTGGCCAAGCAGTAAGAGACTTTTAGAAAATGGCATCAGGACTGGGACGCCTGGGTGGCGTTGGTTAAGCATCCAACTTTGGCTCAGGTCATGATCTTACAGTTTGTGGGCTTAAGGCCCATGTCGGCTCTGAGCTGCCAACTTGGGATTCTCTCTCTTCCTCTCTCTCTCTGCCCCTCCCCCACCCACACTTTCTCTCGCCCCCTCTCTCTCAAAATAAATAAACATTTAAGCAAATAATAAAATAAAATACACACTAACACTTACAATAATGAGAATGTCAGGTTTAATATTCGGAATTTCAGCTGCCATTAAGTGTCTATCTTCTTGTCTTGAGAAATCACCTGTGTACAAAAGCTGTGAAAAAAAATAGAGCTAGAAAATCAGGATTTGGAAGGCTTTGTTTTAGTAGTAAATATATTTAGCTCATAAAACCTGAAGGTGAATTTCAGTAGAAACAACAGCCCACAAGGGATGAAACTTAGATGCAATATTAATAATTCAAAGTGTTTAACTTAGTTCAGTCATAAACCATCCAGTGTTTCAATTATTCCCTCTTAACTTGGGGGAATGATACACTCCCAGACGCATCCAGCACAGGTAACCTGTGTATTAATAAACTTGAGAAGGTGCTCTGAACACCCAAGAGGAAAAGGGCATGATGAGGAAAGAAATCTACTGAGGTATACGGAAAAACCATGTAAAATGGAGGATAAAAATCATAGGAGGGTAAGCACCAAATTTCACATGGGAATATCGATCTGCCTTAGTGTTATTCTCTACTTCTTTTTTGTGCCTCTGAGCAAACAGTAAGGATAAATGATTTAGCAATACTTAGTATAACTCGATATGTAAACGTTTCACATCTCTGAGCAGCTGCTAACTATTCAGGACAATATTACGCCGGAGCATCGATTCTCAGCTCTGCCTACACATAGGAATCACCTAGAAAACTTAAAAAGAAAAAAAAAAAGGGCAAAGCCACACCCTCAAATTGATTCAATGAGTGTTTTTAACATGGCTCCCCAAGTGATCCAACGTGCACCGGAAGGAAGTGCTGGTGCGGCCATCCACCAGTCTTTGACAAGTTCATTTGACTCCCTTTGTCTTTTTTCCTCAAGGATGGCGGCAAGGATCTGTTCTGATTAACACCTGTCACTCATGCAGCACCCCCTTCAGGGGCTTACACGTGAATGCCAAATCACAGTTTGCTGTTAAATAGGTGCAGCCAGGAAGAAAGTTCTGCCCTCATCATTCTCCTAAAGGACGCTGGAAAGGAACTGATCCTATAATACTGTGAAAGAACGTTAGTCTTTTAAGGAGCTTATTTTACTCTTTATAATCGCGATAGAGGAAGTTGTACCGTGGGGGTATGAACTGTCTCAAGGAAGAAGTCTCCATTTAATTTTATCCTATGTTTCACTGTGTAGCACTCTGCAAGTCTTACGGAACTTTCTTCAGTATCGCTTGCTGGCACAAAGCTCTGCACTCATTACTTCTGGGGAGGAAGTTGCCAGAGCAAAAGTACCTTCACGCCTGCGATCTCAATCATGAACATGGCAGCTCCTAGAACGTGGCCTGCATGGTAACACCAAAACTTGATTCCTGCAACTTCTTTAACTTCATGAAAGTTGATGGTTTCGATTTTGTCCATGCTCTCTTCCAAATCTGTCTCCGTGTACAGCATGTCATCTGCTGATATGTTACTAAATTGTCAAAGATGTCAACGAGAAAAAACTGAAAGTCAGATTTTTTGAACTCTTGAAACTCAGAGACTGTCTGTGAATGAAGGAGCCACAAAGTTATTTCACCTCATGGATTACACTATTTAGAATCTCTCGGACATTTTTTAATTCTGCAATTATAATAATAAAAATGTTTGGTGTATACAGCTACAAAACATGATTTTAAGCAAAGTACATAGTAAATTAAGGCAAAGTACTCTATGACGGTATTTCTCCACGTCTTTTTCTGCCCCGACACTCCCCAGTGACAAACTCGCTCATATACATTGAACAGAGATTCTCATATCAGGATGTGAGATTTCTCTAAAAAGGGTAGTGTAAGTTTTCTCCTGAAAATTATACTAATGTATTTCCAAAAAAGCAAAAGGGAGTCGTGGCTAAGGACACAGACTCTAGTGCCAGATTGCTTGGGTCTAAATCGTAGCTTTGTCTCTTACTATGACCATCACAGGCACGTCACCTAGCCTCTCTGTGCCTCCGGTCCATCACCTGGACAATGGGATTCTTAACAGAACGTACATCATGAAGTTGATATGAAGATTAAATGAGTTAACATGCTGAGGGGTGCGGACTGTGTCTGCACATGGTAAATATCATTCAAGTGTTAAGCAGAATAATTATTACTAAGGGCACCTCCTCCATTCTTTTGTATTTATATGTGAAGAGTAATAAATTGTATCCAAGCTACTCCTGGAATATACAAATTAAACAGTAAGCTTTCCAAGGCTAAAAACGTATGCTGTACGTATCACAAAAATACTTGTAGCTTGTCTGATTATCCTCTTAAAACTGGAAAAACCTTCCTTGGGAAACTTTATCATTTCTGACGGTAATGTGCTTTGATCAAATAATCTAAAATAACATTTCAGTATATGTCAGTGTATCATGTACCTGATCTTAAATTTTAATAAAATCATAAAATTCTGTTTATAGAATACTGCTAGCATATCTTATAATTCACTTAAATTACAAAGATTCAAAAGGATGTAAAAAGTTCATAAAGACTTTATGGCCAAGAAGGTGCTAGGTACATGCTGGGTATCTGAGGAGTTGATACTGACAAATGAATGACATCCTTGTGAATAAAAAGAGTGTCTCGCTTCAAAACATAAAAAGGTCCATATCTTGAACTATTTGTATTCTGTAGAATCAAATCCCTGTATAAATCTAATAGAGGTATTTACCTAACTTTGACATAATCTGAGAGAAGCCATCTATAAATAGCTTTTGTAGCGTGAGTCATAAATGTCCTTCCTTTGAAACTTGTCTTCTGTAGAAACCAGGGCAAAGCTCCACAGTGATCCAGATGGAAACTTAAAAAGAAACAAGAAGATTCTGTCAATTCTATTTTTTTATTTAAAATTATTTTTAACGTTTATTTATTTTTGAGACAGAGAGAGACAGAGCATGAACGGGGGAGGGTCAGAGACAGAGAAGGAGACACAGAATCGGAAACAGGCCCCAGGCTCTGAGCCGTCAGCACAGAGCCCGACGCGGGGCTTGAATCACAAACCGCGAGATCATGACCTGAGCTGAAGTCGGACGCTTAACCGACTGAGCCACCCAGGCGCCCCAGATTCTGTCAATTCTTAAAGTATTATCCATCAAATACCACCTGAAATCAAACTGCTGCTGACTGCGCAGCAAAGTTCTATGTAACAAGTGCATATGGATACTTTCAGAACACCAAGGCTAGGTTATACGCAGAGGGAAGGAATAATGCATCCAGGTCTACCATATAGATGACACTGGAAGTATTTTTTAAACATCAAAACATTTACCAATGATAATTACAGAAGGAGGAACATACCCAAACCTCCTCTTGACAGCCAGAATCATAATAAGCACTTCAGTGGTATGAAGCCAAAACATTTACAAATGAAGCTCCTATAAAGTGTGTCAAGGACAGTGACCTCAAGGAGATATTCTGGGAAAGGGCTTTCTTGGTCTCAAGTTTTACAGTGATCCAAAGTGTATGCTATCTCTTTCTCATGTACTCTACAAGCAAGAAAGTAAGTTTTTCAGAGTAAGTGTCTCTAAAGTTAAATTTATTTATTCTGAGTGAGTGAGTGAGTGAGAGAGAGAGAGCGCGCACACATGTGCACACAAGGGGGCAGGAATGGAGGAGGGGCAGAGAGAAAGAGGGAGAGAGAGAGAATCCCAAGCAGGCTTCATTCTGTCAGCACAGAGCCTGATGCGGGGCTTGATTTCGTGAACCGTGAGAGCACGACCTGACCCTGGGTCACGAGTCAGATGCTTAACCCAATGAGCCACCCAGGAGCCCCATAAGTGTCTCGAACCCGTGATGCCAAGAGGGAGTGTTGTCCTACCCGACTGCAATATGATTCCTAGTAGTCTTAAAATCTGATAATGATCTTTAGAGTGAAAGTTCTTGAAAAACCGTGTCATGAGTAAAGAAAAGGACCTACTGACTAATTAACAGGAGATCAATCTCAGCAGGGTCAATTAAATCAATATAAGGAAGCGCATCCATTCCTTCCAGGCCAGGGTGGATCCCGCAGTCCAACTGAAAGAGAAAAAAGGATCACAGTTTCCTACACGTTATTAAAACTTATTTAATAAACAGTATTTATAACAAATCCATCACACACGCCATCAAGACGGACTGTATACACTGACATCTGGAATCCAGTCATTAGTCAACGTGGCACAGATGCCGTTAACAATTCTAACTTCTCAAACATAAAACACAGCCCACATTTCAGTCATAGGAAACAAGATCTAAGACACCTTCTCTTCAGCTGGTTTTGTGAATGCAAACTAACAATGCACGAACTCTTTTTCAAAAACCTTGGTTATCAGAACATGGGGGGCATTTTAAGTTCAGAGATTCACTACTACCAGACCTGACTATTGTGAGAAGATGCTAATCAAAAATGGGAAACCGATCGGGTCAGGGCAACATAAGTATTTTAACGTATTAGGGAATGAGTTCTTAAAAGTCAGTCATTGAGTTACCTACTCATTTTGGGGGCATTACATTCATACAATAAATGACTAAAAAGATGACAGTATCTGGCATATGCCTGTTCTTCAATGATTGGGAGAAGCAAAAGAAGTGGAACCACAGGAACACGATGAGCCACTGAAATGCCTTTCTAGTGAGGACTCTGTAGATCATCTCCCGTCTTTCAGACAAGGAAATGGGCGTAGAGGGGCAGAGTGCCTTGCCCAAGGTCGGGGGCCCCCGAACTTCGGTATCTACACTGCCGAACCGGGGCTCTATCATCCCGGGCAGCATGGGGGTGGCTGGGGCTCTGCACCTGTTCCGGCACTCAGTTCCTTGGCTGTCCTCCACGGCGGGTGGGCCCAGTTGGTTTGACTCGACCCTCCATGAGCAGAAGAGGGACCTGGTTGACAATTCTACAATTTTAGAATACCTCTTCTCAGTTAACTTAATGTTTTGTCAAATTACTAAACAGAAGTCTACGTTATTCACATTAACATTACGCAGCACAGGCTACATATAGAAACTATGACGTTTTTCTGGGAGCTGAACAGACAGCTACAGTACCAGGAAAGACCTAACCCCCAATGCAGACACAGCTGTACTATTAACCTCCCTACAAAATAATTACCATTATTTTTCTTCCTTTGAACTCCAGGATAATACATGATCTTCCTACTTCTTGCCCAGCTCCACTGCAAACATTCAAGGGGAGAAGTAAAAATGATTAGAAACAACCAAAATCAAGCCCAATAAATCCAAACTTTCTTTTTTACAACTTAAATACTGCCCCATTTTGATGATAACACTTATCTGAGGCAGGTAAGAGTTCTAGAAACTTACAAAGATAGGGAAGAGTGGTGTCAGTGTGGGAAAAGATGGAACTTAACCCTTGGGAGTTCAGGGATTTCGCAGTTGCTAAAACTTGAGAGGAGATGGTGCAGATACGTGAAGCCCAAGGTTAAATCCAATCTTCGGAATGTTAGGGCTAAATTATGATGTTAACGGAAATGTAATCTAGCGGTTATGCAGATTATCTGGTCATACTTTTAGGATCAGCACTTGAGTGTGAACCTGTAAGAACTTCCAAATTCTTTCATTTTCTTTAGGAAAATCATGCATTTACTACATAGCTTACATTTAAATAGACTTATTTTATTCCTGGCTGTGAACCTCAGTCCCTTTTCCCTCTAGTTTGTTATTTCAGGGTGTTGGATGCCAAGTGATTAGGCTATTCTCCTTTCTCCCTAAATGAGTAAAACAGCCTTAATTTCCAATTATCCTAAGATGCACTTGAAGCTAAGCCCCACCCATTTTTTCCAGTCCCTCACCTTCTCTGATGCCTTTTCCCACCCATTCTAGGTAACACTGAATTCACTCCCTGAACGTCAAGCACTGTACTCTACGTGCCTCGCATATGGAAATGCCTGTTACACGGACCCTGACTTCAAGGACCTCGGTCCACTCACTGGGAGACAGACACGGGGCGGCTCCATCTCCAAATGGAGATCCTACCATCCAGGGGGACTCTGATGAACAAAAATCAAACAACCGTGGTGCTGCCATGAGTTCCTGGCCGCCCACGTTAACTGGCCCTCTAGGCAACTTCTTAGGTGTCCCCAGCTCAGTTTTCTCTTAAGAGTTTCCACAGTGACGATTTCAAACTTTGTCCTCTTTCCTAACTTTCCCAACCTTCTTTCTTCTTCACTTGAGGCAGGGGCCTTCTCTGCATCAAAAAACATACAGCTTAGGGGCGCCTGGGTGGCGCAGTCGGTTAAGCGTCCGACTTCAGCCAGGTCACGATCTCGCGGTCCGTGAGTTCGAGCCCTGCGTCGGGCTCTGAGCTGATGGCTCAGAGCCTGGAGCCTGTTTCCGATTCTGTGTCTCCCTCTCTCTCTGCCCCTCGCCCGTTCATGCTCTGTCTCTCTCTGTCCCAAAAATAAATAAATGTTGAAAAAAAAAAAAAAACAAAACAAAAAAACATACAGCTTAGAGGCGCCTGGCGGGGCTCAGGTCATGGTCTCATGGTTTGTGGGTTCGAGCCGCACATCGGGCTCTGGGCTGACAGCTGGAGCCTGCTTCGGATTCTGTGACTCCCCCTCCCGCACTTACACTCTGTTTCTTTCTGTCTCTCCAAAATAAATAAATAAATAAATGTTAAAAAAACATACAGCTTGTTTGCCAGTTTCCTCAACTTCACCTCCCAACTAACCCACATATTTCCCCTCCATTTCTCCTGTAGCAACACAACAGAGCTCTCTTTCTGTCCAAGGCTGACCTTGCCACCACGGATGTCCGCTCTGCACGCTCTGTCCTCCGGAGGCCCTGGACGCCTCCCCTCCCGCCTACTTTTGCATTACGACCCAGACCTGCTGCGGCGTTCTCACCCTAACATTAAAAGGCCTCCCTTCTGATTCCCCTCGGTTCCCACGCCACTCTCTGCGCGGCCGCCTCCTGAGAGCCCCGCACACTCCCTGCCGCTGGCCTCTCGGTGGCTCCTCGCCGTTCAAGCCGGCCTGGGATCTTGGGCTCTTCTCCCTTGGTGTTTCTGAGTCACGCTCTCCTCTGTCTCACTGGTTTTCCTCTGGAGTTTCCCTACACTCACAGGCCTCTGCCCACACTTCACACGTTGACACTGCGCGGGCCTCTCCTCGGCCCTCTTCTCAGGCTCCGTGATCTTCGGTCCCACACGTGTGACATGCTGATGAGTTCCAAGTCTGTACTTGTAGGCGGTTAGGTATTTCTACTGGCAAATCCCACAGGCACCTCATGGTCAAATACGCCAAACTCGTCTTCACCTCAAGTCCCTTGTCCTTGCTCTTTTTCCCTAGAATGCTCTGCCCTCAGATGTTGACACGATTGGCTCCTTTGTACCATCTGGATCTCCGTCCAAATGTCACCTTCTGAGGCCTCCTCTTGACTACCTCCTCTCCTTTGCCCTTCGCACAACTCTACCTATCACAACATTTATACTAACGCGAGGTTACTATATCCACTTACTTACGGTTTGTTTCTATTAAAATGAAGGCTCCCTAAGAGCAGAGACATTGTCTTTCTTACACTATTTAGCTGTAGCACCTGGAATGTGGTAAATCTCAAGAAATTCTTGCTGAATGACTAAAAACTTCCAAATCATAAACCTTGGAAACATAAGGCTAAGTGAAAGAAGTCAAAGCCAGTCACAAAAGGTTACATATGATCCCATTTAAGTGAGATGTCCAGAATTGGCAAATCTGTAGAGAAGGACAGCAGAGTAATGGTGGCCAGGAGCTGGGGAAGTTGGGAGGACATGGGGGTGACTGCTAATGGGTACAGGGCTTATATTCGGCATGATGACAATGCTCTGGAATTAGACAGTGCTGATGGTCTTACAACTCTGAATATACTAGAAACCACTGAATTGTACACTTTTAATGAGCCGTATGGTATGTAAATCGTATCTCAATAAAGCTGTTATAACACAGCAGGACTCCCACCTTTATTCCAGAACTGCCCCAGCTCCTGTACTCAAGTGACTAACACGACCCCTTACCAGCTGCTCGGCTTAGGAACCCAAGACCTCCTAACACTCCTCTCCACAACTGCCCCTTCCAATACATCTGATCAGCTACAAAGCTGTAAAGATGTCACCTCCTTACTCTCTGAAACCTACTTTCCAATTCATTCAATGCTCATCTCATTCCTGCCAAGCCCTCACTGCTTTTTACTTGGATTATTTCCATTACGTTCCTCCTGGATTCCCTCCACTGAACTCACTCATCTGCTACACTGCTGGAACAGGTCTTCCTAAAGGAGGGATCTTAGGAGAGATCTTCCTAAAGCGAGAAGATCCTTAGGAGCGATCTTCCTAAAGCCGAATTCCCACTGTATCTCATCCGTGCTTAAAGCCTTCATTGGCTCTCTAGAACTGACATGACAAACACCCAAACTCCTTAGTATGTATACAGAGTCCTTCATAAACTGGTCTCTGACAGCCTTTCTCCCACCTCACCAGCTCATCTTTCAGCCACAGCCATGAGGAAACCAGCCACACACTGTGACCACTCTTTTTCACATGGGCCACTTCCTCTGTCTGGAACATCCTTGCCCTACACTCTACCGGTCATTAATTCCTACTTATTCTTTAGGACTCAACACTGCATCCGCCAGGACATGGGAGCTAGGTTTTGCTTGTCAGCTTGTTAGAAATCCCTTCTCCGTAGTCTCCCAGCACTCAGTGCAATGCCTATCGGGACTCTTCTAAGAGTTACCATTTACTGAGCACCTACTATGAGCTTCAGTCCTTGCAATGTGTTGCTATATTATTTAAACGTGAAGAAATGGGTTCAGTGAGGCTGCTGTCCTAGCAAATGAGAGCAGGGACTGAAGTCCACGTCTGACCCCGAAGTAATGGTCTCCTATTGTTCCAAACGATCTCTCCAGAACTTTTCACTTTGCATTGCTACTCCTACCAAAACAGTGAATTCAGTTAACTCAGCGCTGTCTTAGTGCCTAGTGTGATGCTTGACGCTTGCTCAGTGTTCGCTGAACACAGGAAGAGAGGACAGGCGTGAACTAAGCAGTGGGGAACCTGTTATGTCTCCGGTAGGTGCTCAGCGAATCCTTACTGGATGGATGCAGAGACACCGTCTACCTTTTGAAAAGTGCACGAGTTAATGCGATGCTAACTTCTACCTAAACACGCATTTGTGAACGCAAACCGCTCATCTCTAGGACAAAGTTCTCCACTTTGTCTAAGTTCTAAGCAGCATTCTAGATCTGTGAAGTGTTTCTCTGGCAGAAGGCCAGCTCCACTCAAAGACTAGCCTTCTCTCGTGGACAATTAAGGTTTGAGTTTTCGTCCTTCACATCTCTGCTCTTTCTCCTCTTTCTCCCTTCCTTATTCTGCTGGGGTCTGAAGTCAGAAGGTCAAAACTCAGAGCTCATTTATTTCCTCTTTCACATCCTGGCAAATGTCAAGTCCTGGAGGTAACGTAAGAAACAGATCTGGCTCTTCTTCACACCTGCCAGAGCTTAACCCAGGTCCTCGTCTCATCCTGCCGTCATCTGCATTGCCGCTTCCACTCTTTAGCGCCTAGGAAAGCGCCCAGCGGCCCAAAGAGACATCTTTTCCCGCCCCCAACTCCCACACACTCTCCCCTGAGACTGAAGAAAAAGCAAAGTCCCATTCAACCTAGCAGGCCCGTTCCGATCCACAGTTCTCCAAACCCCTTCAGCCCGAGAGGCCTGGCCCGCAACTGCGGACCAAGAGCAGGCTCCCGAGGCCTGCGAGCGTGCGGGCGGGCGACTGAGGCGGCCAAACATCCGGTTACCCCTCCTCGCCTCTCACAGCCCGTGGCTTCATTCCCTCTCGCGCTGGTCCCTTACAGGGGTCGGATCAGCAGCTGGTCACTTTCCTCAGCAGGAATCGCAGACATCTCGGAAGTCTGAAGGCGAAGCGGGGCTGAGGATCAGGTCACGGAGTCTTTCTAAATTGGAAGCAGAACCTCGGAGAACCACAGGGAGGAGAAGCCCATCCATCCAGGGCACAACTTCCGGCCCTCCGGCGCCCGCGACACTAAGCTCCTCCCCCCGACTTCCGGTCGGAGAAACCAGGACGCGAGGTTCCTCCCCTCAGCGGAGTCCGGAAACCTGGGGCGGGGTCAGTTCTGCGCGTGCGCGACGCCTTGGGGGCGGGGCCCGGCGGGCGGGGCCTGGGGCGCCGGAAAAGCTGGCACTGGAATTCGAACTGGAGTGGCTGCCCCAGTGTCCGCTGCCTGGGCTGTGGGCGTCTGACCCCGACCGCAGGCGGCCCCAGGGGCGGGCCAGAGGCTGTGAGGTGAGAGCCGGGCCCTGGCCGGTCCCGGACTGAGCCTGGCCGGGAACGCGGGTCCCGAAGGCGGTGCGGGCGGGGAGGCCCGCGGTAGGGCGGATGGGTGGGGCCGCGGGGGCTGCGGTCTCCCCCGGGACCCGCCTTCCCGGGGCCGGGGACCCAAGTCCCCAGGTGGCGCGGAGCGGGCGGCGGGAGTGGAGGAGCAGGCCCGGGCCTGCGGGAGGATGCGGTGCCCCAGGTGCCAGGTTCCTGTTTGGGGTGGGACTGCAGCGCTTGTGACGGCAGGTGTCGTGTGTGGATCGGTCCCGTCGGACACGGAGACGGGAGTGGGAGCCGCCGCGGGGCTGCTTCCGGAGTCGGACTCCGCTTTGTGGGGCCGTGAGGAGCGCTTTTTGTGCCGGCTCCTCTTGGTTTCTCCATGGCTCCAGCCCCCTTCCCCCACCGCGAAGGGCCGGCGTGGTGTCTGTCCTGTTTGCTTTCATCCTGCGCACCTGCACGTGGCAGGCGCAACACAACAGTGCGGACTACGTGGGAAGCAGGGTGGGGTCTGGAAAGAGCTTCGGCGGTCGGGTCTGTCTTAGGTTCCAAACTTGGCCCCACCCATTATTAGCCTAGCGACCTGGGGCAAGACGCTTAGAGTTTTGGCTTCTTCATTTGGAAGGGGCTGTGTGATACTGCAGCCTTGCTGGTCAGTAGCGAGGGTTACAGGTTTGTATAGCGCCCAGCACTGGGCGGCACACGGTAGGTGTTCAGGACAGGAAATTGGTATCTGGGAGAAGGTTCTTCAGTTCATTAAACGTGTCCTTTGCCAGTCTGTGCCAGACGTTGGGTACACAGATGAAATACCTAGCCCCCATCTTTGAGGAGCTCACAGTTGAGAGAGTTCCAAGTAAGATAGAGTAAGATAGTTCCAAGTGGGCAATAGCCG